CTTTAATGTTAGCATCTACAGAACTATCTTGGCTGAATGTAGAGGTAAAGACCAGCAGTTTGAATCCATCAGTCCATCTGACTGCCTGTTCTAACCAAACCAAAGACATCATTTACCATCTCTTCTTTCCTTTTGTTTTAAATTAGCCCCATTTCTTATTAGAAACCACTAAAAAAACGTTGAATACAGTCAGTCCTGATTTACATTTGGAGTGACAGATATCCTGAATTCAATGTTAACATCTTTCAACCAGCATTCCCTGCAGACTGAAGCCTCTAATCTCCAGAGCAAACATTACTCATCAATTCCTCTCTCCGGGGATTGTCTTAGAGCTTCGGTTTTCTATCCGATGATGTCAGACTTATCAAGCTAGTGTTGATCAAACATCAGAGAATTTAGGAAGGCGCCTCATCACATGTGATACATATTCTCAACTGACTCCTGTCTGCATCAATTTATTCTGTGAACGTGCCACCGACCCCAGCAGCTACACCCACTCCGTTATCTCTTTGCTGTCGGCCCTTTTTTGTATCTGTAACATTTTCTTTTTAAAGCAAACCTTCAGCATTGGTCTCTCCCTGCCAGCTCCAGCCACAGTAAACAATCACAAACACTGTCATAGAGACACAGTCATGATAAGGCACTGTTTTGTGCAGCACCCAGTTAATGTAAGCAACCTGCCAGCGCAGGCCATGGAGATTTTCACAGTTTGGAGACATCCAGACCTGCTGTCCTGACTCGGCTATGAAACAAACGCTTGTCTTGGAACACGTGAGACCTTTTACTGCAGAGGTTTACTGGATCTGAAACAGAACTCAGTGACTCACCAGCAACTGAATACTGACTGAAGACATTAATACTCATTACTGCTGTGCCTAAACTCTAAGTGTGTTTGCTTTTAGAGAGATTGAGCCGCCTGGACAGAGCCTAGTATCTTCCTTTCTTTCCATTTTCATCGTCTCCAGTTCCAGAAATACTTCATATAGTTACACACGCAACAACATTTTTAGTACAGTTTCCGTAAAAGTTTGGAGGACTTTTATACTGATAATACTTCAAGAGGAAATTTCCTACAAGTCCACGTCATTACGTGCTAGATTCAACAAAGCAGAAAGTTTAAATATTTATTCCAATATGCTGGTGAAGATTCTCAGTCATCCATGTCATTATTTCTAAAAAAGTAAATAAAAAAAGAAACCTACTTGACTTTGTTGTCTAAGTTTGAAGACATTTCGCTTCCCACCCACAAAGCTTTTTTCAATCAGGTGGCTAACAAAGACCTCAACTACTGTACTCCCCATTTCAGAGGGATAGACCTGTTCTTCTGGTTCCATTTGTATGTTTTCTAAGCCTAAAGCTTGGAACTCAACGCTAATGCAGACATTTTGAATTGAAAAAGCTTCCTGGATGGGAAGTGAAATGTCTTCAAACTTGGATAACAAAGTCCATTGGTTTGTTTTTTAGCCTTTTTCAATTTCTCTATGTAAAATAGAATTTTGGCTGAAAGGTGATTTTTAAATAATAATAAACAATGTCATCAATTAACCTAATTGATTTTGTGCTGGAAAGAAACCTGAAACTTACTGTATTCATCCATCCAATTTCCGTCACGCTTATCCCTGCTGGTATAGCGAGGGGTGCTTGTGCTCCAGCTGTCAATGGGCGAGAGACAGGGTACCTGGACAGGTTGCCAGTCTATTACAGGACAACACAGAGACAAACAAATCAAACAACCCTTCACACACACACTCACACCTTAGGAGTATTTAAAGAAGCCAATTAACCTAACAGTCATGTTTTTGGACTGTGGGAGGAAGCCGGAGTACCCGGAGAGAACCCACGCATGCTCAGGGAGAACATGCAAACTCCATGCAGAAACCAGACCCGGAACCTTCTTGCTGCAAGGCAGCAGTCCTACCCACTGCGCCACGGTGCACCGCCTGAAACTGAGAGAAGTTCAAACATGAGCCTTTATACAGCAAAGATGTTTGTTAAATCTTTAGAACTGATTTTGTTATCCGAGTTGTTTACGATTTTCACTAAAGTGAGACCAGTAAGAAAATATCTGACATCATCATTAGATGTGACAAAAATGGTGGAAGGCTATCTAATTCAGTAAGATCTACTTTCCCTCATACAGTCAAATGAGTCTGAAGATAATTTTAAATGTTAGGGAGTTCATTAGGAACAAGGTGAAGGTCACATGTTTCAGCGGATTCTCTGTAAACTGAAGCTTGAGTATCTTTGACCTACATGAAAATAGTCAAACATGCAAAACAAAAAAAATTTTTCTTCATTAATTGATATTATTCATAACTTAATCTGCAGTAGATTTAGGGGACTAAAATGTAATGAAAAATATAACGAACTAAACTATACTAAAGATAACCAAATGATATAGGAAAATTATCTCAAGCAATCTAATATTAAAAGTTATTGGATTATTTTATTTCTTTGTTCTTTGTTCTATCATGGGTTGTCACTCTAAGTCTCCATCTAACCCCAATCATCTACATCATCTTCTTTCACTCCAACTACCTTTGTCTTTTTTACATCATTCATACATATCTCCTATGGCCTTCCTCTGGGCCTCCTGTCTGGGATTTCCATCCCTGCACCTCTCTACTGATGTACTCACTGTTCCTCCTTTGTACAAGCCCAGACCATCTCAGACTGGCCTCTCTGGCTTTATCTCCAAAAACATAACCTGAATTATCCCTCTGATGTACTTATTTCTGATCTTATCCATCCCCATCCCTCCTAAAGAGAACCTCAGCATCTTTATCTCTACTACCTCGCCCCCCCATCTCCTCCCCAGTGCCATTGTCTCTAAACTATACAACATTGCTGGTCTTGCGTGTACAGCTTTCTTTTTATTCTGATAATACTTCCATTTTAAACTTAATGCAGTCCTACTTTCCTTACTGTCCCATGTACAGCAGTCATCACCACTGTCTTATGGCTCTAATCTGTTTGTTTGAGAAACAAAACAGTATAAATAAAATAAATGTTGGGTAAATATAGTTTCAAAGCATTATAAAACCCTGATTTCTTAAGAGTAAACTGAAATGAATACCTTACATTTTATTTATTTTTCAGTCTGTTCATTTATTTTAAAAGGCACAGTCCCAGTAAAGATGAGATTAAATGTTTTCTTTTTGTTTATAGTTTCCTTATTGATACTGATAATGTAATTTGTAAAATACACATAACGTAGAATGTTAACTTTCCTTTCGAAATATACTTAATCGGAGAAAAAGTTGAACAAAAATCAGTTTATGAACTGATAAAAAAAAACTTAAAGCTGTGGTGTGCATGAAGGACCCAGCCTGCATGAGCCTATCTGTGCTTCAGCATTTTATCTCCATGAGGGCAAATCGGTATTTAAGTCTCCCACCTTTTGGTATTGTGCCTTCTTTCTCTACCCATGGACTTATGTGATAAGATCCCCTCCAAATCTTCTTTAAAAACAGCAAAAAAGCAAAAAAGCACGTAGATCCAAAATCACAGAGATCTGATCTACCATTGCGAGAGTCATTAACAAGACGTTTTGTGCAGATGTCCTGTAAGCTTTTGAGCCATCACTATCCAGCTGCTGTTTGGGTTTGTGAAGATGATGCGTAAAGGATGAAGATGGGGGGGATCAAAGAAAACTATTGTTCTTATCTACCTGCAGCTTACTGAGTTGTGTTTGGAGATCCTGTAGACATCACAGAGTGGGGCTCTTCATGGAAAACTCTAGATAGGAAGCCCCCTGTCACACAGCCCAACATGCAGGCATGTCTGCTTGGGTTCAGTTGGCTCTGAATCAACAGCTGGGCCTGTTAACACTTTGACAGAGTTTGCCATAATAAAACCCACATAATGTCTACCTTTACATAGCTTTCCCTGTGATCTGACTCTAATGTGCTTTGAGAAGGAGTGTTTTGTAAGCTGTTATAAAGAGTAAATGGTAAATTTAAACAATTAGGAAACCAAAACCAGGGTGGTGAGAATGAGGGAGTGATAAGTGTTTTAAATAGATGGGCTGACAAATAGCAGGGCACATGTGTGCAATAAAATGAATAGAACAAGTGCACTGGGATATGCTGCTAAAAGCCAGGGGTAGGCTGTGGTTTCTGGTGTTTTATAGGCCTGCATATTGGTTCAATTAGCAGGTGTGTTAGACAGGAATGATGCTAGCCTGAGTTATTGGTAAGGTGTGGTAAACTATCAGGTGAAAACAGTAAATTCCTCCCAAGTTAGAAAGTAAAAAAAAAAAGAATTTTTTTTTCCATAAAAACAGTTATTTGTCTCTTCTATGTCTGTGAGAACCAGAGAGAGTCAGACATAAGTGTGGTGAATGTAGCTGTGCACGTTTCTTCCCAAGCATGCAGAGCTCTCCTGCTTCTGACAGTATCTTGGCTGTAAGCCTCACACGTGAGTTTAGCAACAGCTGGAAGAGGGAGAGAAAAGGAAGAGAACAGCAGAGCCAAGAGACTGCAGGCCAGTTCCCAGGCCCCGGCCTCTGGAGACCTCAGAGGAAAGGAAGCAGGGTGGGTGTCGGTGGAGGACGGTGGAGGGCCCACACCAGCTGCATTCAAGTGTATTTGAGCAATTCTGGTTGCAAGTAGTTTTGCAAGAAGGTGATTCCTCTATGTAGCTTTAGAGACGAAGGTGAGCAGCTAAAAAATAAGCTGTTCCAAATACAAGTTTTTATATCTAATCCTCAATCCTTTTAAATAAAGATTTTCAACTGATTCAGGGAAATCACTCATTGCCTCACTCTAGCAATCTCTTGTTTCCTGTGGTAGAAATAGTTTTAAACCTATAATTATTAAATGGTGGGAAAAATACAATAAAACACAAGAAATACGATTTAATAATTATCAGGTGAAACAAACATTTTGAAACATATTAACCTGTGTTTTGGGTCAATGGCATTTATTGCTTGTGTCTACTGCCCCCGTGTGGCCAAAAGTTGTTTTTACCATCATAACTTGGGCTATTTCCTTTTTCAGGGTTGTGGAGCTTCATGTGGAAAATGTGACTGCAGTGGGGTGAAGGGAGCAAAGGTAAGATCTTCATGCTTTTATTGTTTTCATTGTTCACTTGCATCCTGTAAAAGTATTGATACCCCTGAGCTGTTTCATATCAAAAGCACAAATTATATAATTTCTCAATCAATCAATCAATCAATCAATCAATCAATCAATCAATCAATCAATCAATCAATCAATCAATCAATCAATCAATCAATCAATCAATCAATCAATCAATCAATAACTGGTGACCAGTCCAATATGCCAGAAACAGATTAAATCATGTTTTGTGTTTCTTTCAGGCCATGTTGGAAACAAAGCAGACTTTAAGAAAATAATCCTTTATGTGAGAGTTAAAGATTTAAGAGCAGAGTTACGTTCCAGCAGTTTAATGACCCTAAACATACAGCCATAGTGGTAAAACATCATCACTGAAGCATCTAGATGTCATTTTTGCTCACTGAACAGCAGCTACTTTAGAGGAAAGAGTGGGCAAAATGATTACACTTTCAGCTTATAGAATAAATCCAGTACTTAGCCCCCTAAAATAATATGATAACAGAAAACAAAACTGTGTGTTTGGCTTCTTTTCTTTTTGCTTCAGGCAATATACTACTTGGTGTTCATTTACCAATTCTAAAAATTATAATGATTGTGGAACTGTTTTGATTTAAAGGTTAATTTAAAGGTCAAAAGATCAAAAGGAAGACATCGTTAGAGAAGGTTGCTTCTAACAATGGTTGAACATCATGGGGTTGTACCTACAGGTTCAGTAAAAAGGCATTTGGCCCAAAGAAATATACATTAATATGGATTTTTTTTTTTTTTATTAGACCATGGCGGGGCACACAGCTCGGTTACAGGTCTTAAACCCATCAGATGGAAAAAAGCTTACTGCTAGAGAAACACGGAGGCCATAAAACACCAATGAGCTGTTCATCTGTCATCGCTTTGAGATTAGTGATAATAGCTGAACTGGAACATGTCTGCTAAGCTACAATTGACCAGTGGAAGTTTGCTTAGTAATATGTTTTGTCCCTCTAGACAGCACTAAGAAGGTTAAAGCATTTTATTTTATTCCATTAAATAATAGTATTTTGTACTTTTTTTGAAATAAGGTAATTTATATTTTAACTTGCTGAAGTTGTTAAGGAAAGACTTAAAAGGTACAGCCCTACTGAAAGATGCATGTTGTTCTGATAGCCTTTTCTTATTGATTTTTATTTTTATCCTTTCATGGTTTTTCAATAATAATCAGTAATTTTAGGAAGTTAGAATAAGCTATTCAGTATTGTGGTTCTTTAACTGATTTAGTAATTACCTGAGCTCTTCCTGTTTGAGAAGACCTGTGCATCATGATGTGATCTCAGAGTAGACTGCTTTAGATTGTGGATTATGCTGACCTTTAATGTTAATTAAAGCAATGGCAGAGGACAAACAATGACCTCCCTGGATATATATATATATATATATATAAACCAAAAAAACAAACTGACAGCATAGTGGTCATCCACATGCTGTGATTCCAGAGCTCCTTTGTGCTAAATGTGCATTAGACATGTTTGTTTTTATTAGTGTTGCCATCACTTCCTTTTGTTTTACAGTGGAGGTTGTCACGGTAACCAAGAGGTAATGCAGTCACTCTATCTCTCTACTGATGAAAGCCAGGTGTTGTGGAAATCCACCCTAAAAAAATAAACACTTGTTCTTGAAGCCAGTCTCACCTCATAACGATGCTGCCATCTAGTGGTTCATAGTAGAACAGCTCTAACTATATGAAAAAATATGACATTCAGGTAGACTTTATTATCCCATCTGTATATAATATCCAATGTTAGGAGTAACTGAGTTAGAAAAGAATAGTTTTCCAGCCTTATTGTTTAAAATAACATTGAAATGGCATTACATACAATCAGTGAATATATTTTGCTGTGGGAGATGACTGGAATTTGTTGCAGATGCAGGGACAGGGCAGGAGAGCTAAGATATATGATGCCAACTGTCTGAAAGGCGTAATGTGGGCATTTGGTTCAGCCTGTATGGATTGTAGAGGTAGACAATGCAGGTTTAGAAACTTAAAACCATGCTTAACGTTCCTTTATCTTTTTCATTTAAAGGTATAGTGGAGGATGTTCTTTTTCCGGGTGGATCATCAAAATAAGTGGTCCTGCTGCAGTAATTGTCAATCATACTGATGATATGTTTACATAAAGCTGCCCTATGTGCTGGTCCCAATTTTCTGTTACCGGTGTAGAGTCTTACATAGTGGAAATATTGCTAATCTCCTTTAGGAAAGTAAGATTGTATGAACGAAGCAAACAACATTAAATAGAGCGTGCACAAGGAGAAATGGGTTTATGCATGCTCTTGCACCCGTCTTATTTTTAAAGTGGAGAGGGCAGGTCTTTTCAAAAATGTGCAAAACATTTTTCACTATACCTTTAACTAGGGGGTTTGGTATTTTTGGATCTAAGTGCAGCATTCAACACTATTTATCACTCCATTCTATGCAGGGCCTGGAAAACTGGGTCAGTCTTTCTGCTAGAGGTTTACATCAAGTACAGAAACTTTTTGGTTCAAAGGGAAGCTTTAAAACAGAGACCACAAAAGTGACATGTGACATTCTTAGGGCTCATTGTATTCTACATGCTCCCTCTAGCTCCCTCTAGCACAGATTATAATAAAAAGCAACAAAAGTTACCATAACTATGCAGACGAAACAGCTCTTTATTACGATGTCACAAAGTAACTGTAAACCTATTTAAGCACTTGTAAATGCATAGAGGAAGTAAAGGCATGGATGTGCACAAATAGTCTTCTGATGAATAAAAACTTAACTGAAATAATAATTTTTGAATAACAGGAGGAATGGTTAGAATGTAGGTTACTAGTCAGGCTCAAAATCAGGGTGTAGTGATGAACAGAACCTACAGAGACACATAAAGACATTAACAAAGTCAGCCTTCTTTCACCTGAAGAGCATTTCCAGGATTTAAAAATTGAAAGAATAATATCTCAGCTGGAAAAAGCTGCTCTCAGGCGTTTATCTTAAGTAGACTAGATTACTGCTTTGGCATTCTTACAGATTGAACCCTACAGCTGTAGTTGATCCAGAATGCTAATGCCTGTGTTCTCACTAAAACTAAGAAATTCTATAGTTGTTACATTTACTCCCTGTATCTCAGATAATAGAGTTTCTCTGTGTGTTTTCCTGTTATGTTTTGTTCTTGTACAATATTTTCAATTCTCTTGTTGCTGTAATGTGCTATACGATTAGCTTTGCCATGCCATGCTTTGCTTGTCTACGGTATGGTGGTATGCAACATATCCAAATGGTTAGAAGTAATCCCTATAGTATAAAGGCTTATTAAATCCTGGATTTGACTGCTTCTAAGTGATTGCCTAAACAGACTGAGATGATCAAGAGAGATGCATCGGATGACAAAGAGCCTTGCAAACTCAATGATTGCATTTCTAAATTCGAGGCATAGACATTTTCCTTGGCTCACTGAAGTAAAAACTTAATGATCCTGTGATTTGGCATCTATTTGTTGAGAACAATGAAATATAAGACTCCACATTGATTACAAACATATATATAATGACACACCTTACACACCTGACACACATTTGATAGTTTAGCTTTGTTGGATTCAGGTTTAAAACTGAAAAAAAAAAAATTTAAATTAAAAATCCAAATTCATAGACATTTAGGATCATAAAAAGTAGGTAAATATTTATTTTGCCTAGGAACTTGTGATGTAGATATGTTTTTCAGGAAGTAATTGACAACTATATCTAGTCCTTTTTTTAAAGTTACGTGCCCATCTGGTTATGTCTGGTGCAAATGTATGTTAACTGTGTCGGTGCGGCTTTTCCTGAGCTAAAGGATCTGATTTTATTTTTTTATATTGTCTTGCATATCACAGGGTGAGCGTGGATTTCCTGGTCTACAGGGTAATATGGGATTCCCAGGAATGCAGGGGCATGAGGGGCCTCCAGGGCCAATGGGCCCCAAGGTAGGTACACACTTTTAGACTATTTAAATTGGAATCTTTTTTTAAGATTATTGAAAAAATTGGAAGCATTTCCTAGCGATCCAAAACTTGTGTTAATGAATAAATGGAATCCCATCTCTTCACCAAAGAAGCTCCAATCTTGACACTTTTGTTTTTATTTTTTACTCTCACATGACACATGTTAATTTCTTATTCAAATCAGCAGAGCAGCTGTTAGATTTTACATCAGTGAAACTGAGTAAGCTCTGGATGACTAAGGATTTACCAAACCCACTCATATAGCCCTTTTATACATCACCAACATTTTTATTCTTTTGAACTGATATTTAAGCTTTTTCAGAAATATTTCAGATATAATTGTAATAATGAAATAATTTATCCAATAGGGTGATCTAGGAGCACCTGGTGCTCCGGGATTAAAAGGAGTGCGCGTAAGTAAACAACTATATAATATAAAACTACACGACCCTAACTCCACTGCTTCAGTAGAAGCTTTTGTGTTAACCGGATGCTTGTTATTTTTCAGGGTCCTCCTGGGCAACCAGGGTTTCCAGGAAATCCAGGACTACCAGTATGTTTATCACACATGCTGTTCCATTGTACTGAATTATTCTAAGAATGCCTCCATTTGAGGATTTTATCAGCTAAATATATTATTATACTCCTTTCTGTGTGTTGATGTCTGTTTAGAAATTCTATCACAACTTAATGCTTAACTATTAAAACTGACTTTTTCTATAATCTTAATCTTAGGGGCTCAACGGAAATGACGGTCCCCCAGGTCCGCCTGGAATCCCAGGATGCAATGGGACCAAAGTAAGCTGCCTTTGTTTCTCATAGATTTGGAAGAACATTGTTGATTATATTGTTTTATGAACTGATACGTTTGTTCCCTCTAATGATTTGATGTCTGTGTTTCAGGGTGAAAGAGGAATGGACGGTCTGAATGGTTTTCCTGGACTTCAAGGGCCGCCCGTAAGCAGAACCGTTCACTTTTTAAATGATTGTTACAGAAACTGGATTTCTTTCTAGTTATTAATTGGTTGGTTTAATTTATTATTGTTTCTTCAGGGCCTACCAGGACTGCAAGGAATGAAAGTGAGTTTTGGCTTTAATATCTGTTCTATAGTTTTACAAACCTTTGACTCCAACAACCTGACAATGACTTTCTCTTCTACAGGGAGACCCTGGTGGTGTAATTGGGTTTGTCCCTTTTAAAGGAGACAGAGGGCTACCTGGCACACCTGGACTACCTGTGCGTACTGTAGCATGTTGGTTTGAGCAACTTCAGGCATGTCAGAAACCATATTGGATTGTAATGATTTCCTTCTTCTACCTGTCTTCCTCTCCAAGGGAACTGTTGGACAAGTTGGACCAACTGGACCCCCCGGACCCCGAGGATATCCAGGACTCAAAGTAAGTAACACAAAAGTCAAAGCAATAATACAAACTGAAGATCTCACTGAAGTCATCCTCTTAACTAATTATAACTAACTGACAGGGTGATCCTGGACCGCCCGGCCCTCCAGGAGAGAAAGTAAGATCCTTTTTCAGCATTTTTCATCCTTTTTCTATCAATGATTTTACAATAACTTTATCATTTGTCTCCAGGGTGACAGATTGGCCTTTGTGAGTGAAAAAGGACAGAAGGTGAGAGTTATTTTTTTAATTAATAGGAATTTTAGATTAGCTAACATGGGACTTGGATGATTTTCCAACAAATTTTCCGCTGACATAGTAATGTGAATATATTAAACTTGAAACAGACACCAAAAATGTGTGAAATAGGCACATAGTATAGGTCATCTTTGTGTATACTTAGAAATCTTGGAATTTTTAGCATCTTAAATCAGCAATACAGGTGCTTACAAACATTAGACCAAATTTGAATATTTGTCCAAATCTTTATTTCGAATTCAGCCTCTTCAAAGCTGACAGCGATTAGCTCAAAAGAACTATACAGGCTAACTTTTTAACTGGGGATCCAACAATTTATTTTACCAACAATTCGATTCATATCATGATTCATGGTGATTAATGGACAATTTTGGTTCATTTAGAACAGGGGTCACCCATCTCTTTTAGTCTGAGAGCTACTGAGTCAACAGAAGGAGGGGTCAGTGTTCACCTAAACTTTAAGCACAATAAGCATACTTTTATTGTTTCTTTTAATCATAAATTTTATTTTAGATCCTGTCATTTTGCAATTTCTATACATTCTTAAATGCTCTCTATGATTAATATGACGAAATGCTCTATAAATAATTAAAAAAGAAAAGAAACTGAATAACATAAAATTTAAAACTTATCCCACAGGTGAGTTGTGCTGTTTTTAGAAGATGCTGAGGGCCCTTCACATGGTCCCTTAGGGCCTCTTGGTGCCCGCCTTGGTAACTCCTGATTTGGAACGATCCGATACGAGATGATTCACTGACTCGAAATCGACTCAGTAAATCTTGAATCAAAAATGTAACCAATGTGACTGTGAAATAAATCTCCTAGATTTTTGTTATTTCTTTTGAAGAAACTTAGTTATAAATTAAATAAATATGCACATAAACAAAACATAGGAAAAAATACTGGCAAAACATTCAAATTTTATTTTAAATTCAACTAACACTCCAGAATAAATCAATAGGAGGTTAACCTGTCTGGTATTATTTTAAATAAATTAACCATTTTTAAATTAGATTGCATCTCATTAAAGTGCAATAAATATCTGAACAATAGGTTTACCTGCTTTTTCCACTGTTTTTTATTTTTTATTTTACTTGAAATTATTATAACTTGTAATAAAGACTCAGTCGAGCACTTCATCAAATAAACAATCCTAACATTGATTCTTCTTCCATCAGTGACAGTAAGCACAACAAAGGTCATTGTTGTTAACCATATCTGTCTGCTCCAAGGTATTGTGTGTCCATAGGTCAGAGGATTAGATTAGATTACTTAGTTTCTAAGAAGCTGGTCAAGCTTTATCAAGGCGTAATTAGGTATCTGACTCTGTTCACAGCTGTACATCATTTCCCTGCACAACTAAGTAGGCCTAGCACTGAGGCCTACTTCCATCGGTGACAGTATCCAGGCTGACATACTATTGTGAAAAGTAACAACAGATATTACAACCTGTAACAGTACAGAGGAGCAGGAAGAAGGAAAATATTAAGGGAAAAGTCAGCTGTTGGATCCTGCGTAAGGAAGCAGCATGGCCTGCCTCCGACAGCAGATGGAAATAAAGTCCTTACTTGGTGAAACTCAGCTGTATTGATTAATATCTGTAGATATCAGGACTCAAACTGAGCCCGCCTCACTATAAACCTAAACAATGTCTGAAAATGTTCTTAAAAACTATATTCCATTTAGGGTGGCCCCTGCCCCCACTTTCTCAGTGTTTTTTATCATATATCAAATAATGCTTATATGCTGTCTTTTGAGGATATTAATTTCAATTTTCTATATTAAAAGGACTGGTATGTGTTCACCTGTGACCATTATAGTGTTAATGTTTCCTTGCAGGGTGAAAAAGGACTCATAGGCCCACCTGGTCCACCTGGAAGATATGAAGAAGTGAAAGCAAACACCACATGGGTACGACCATGGCTACTCACTTAGTGCTTTGAAACTGAAATTCCAAATTAAAACATTTAGAATGTGTCATTAACTGATTGTGCTTCTGGTTGCATTTAATTCCCACAGCATATAAAAGGAGACAAGGGTGACAAAGGAGAGAAAGTAAGTATTTCATCTTAATATGATGCGATGTAGCCTTTGCTTTTAAGAAAAAGTATTTTTATTATTATTGACCTTTTATTAAAACATTCATTTCTTTTTTTTAGGGCCTCTGTCTCCCTTATCAGAAAGGATTCAAAGGCGAACCTGGCCCACCTGGAGCAGAGGTATGTCATGGTCAATTTTACCTTTGAAACAAATAAGAACTGAAGAGATAATTTACATTAGATTCTCCCGGAAGAGTAAATACTTGTTTGGAAGCGTATCTACTATCTACGTTTTAACCTTTTATGTCAATGTTTAGGGTAAACCTGGTAAAGATGGAAAGGTTGGCACAAAGGTAAAACTAATATTTATCATCTATCTGCAAAACAAACACTTTCTTTTAAAGTTTTCAACTCTAATTAATCATCAACTTATTTTACTGCAGGGAGAAAAAGGCAACCAAGGGCTTCCCGGATATCCTGGTTCAACTGTAACTACCCCATGCTTTACAAGTTTATATATTCCAATAATTAACCCATCCAGTCATTTATATTAATCTTCTGACATTTTTGTATCTGATTTTAGGGTGTAAAGGGAGATAAAGGACCACCGGGTTTTGTGAGTTACTCTGCTTCTTCTGGTGTTTACTTGGATTTATTTTCCTTTTTTTTGTTAATGTCTTGGTTAATTAATAAAAGCAATAGAAGTAATCATTCCCAGTTTATTGACAACACTCCATTTTTACAAAAAATGTCCTCTCAAGTCGCTTGGCGATAGAAAAAAAAACTTCATAAACATAAATATAGAGTCATTTCAGTCATTTTAAAAATAATCAGTGTTAAATACAGACTATGTTGATTTTTACACATAATCCACTAATCAATAATGTTCATATGCTCATCTGGCAGCAGAATAATTGATACTGTTGTTAAAATGTAGTAGAAAAGTATGAGCTAATGTCATTAATTATGTGGTTGTACTGTAGGGTGAAGGTCCACGTGGCCCCCCTGGGCCTCCTGGTCCTCCAGGGGGACACGGAGCAAAAGGTATAGACGATACTTTTATGTGTCCATTAACTCACAGACACAATAGATCGCTTCTAACATGACCTACTTTCATTCATTGCTCAATTCCTTTTCCAACCACAGGTGACCGTGGTTTTCCAGGTCAAACAGGTCCACCAGGTAAAATGTTAGAATAGACACTTCTTGACCTTAATCTATTTTGAGCATGCTAACGATAGAACTCTAGTTTCATTTGAATTTTAATTGTTTATCAGCGTTTTTATGTAACAGAGGCAGTTGTAGAAGGCTTCATAATGCAGGATCTTAGGAGTTTAAGGGGAATCTTAGATTGGAAGGTGGTTATTTGTTTGGATGTCACTGGCAAATGTGTCCGTTTATGTTAAACTGATAATATAGTAAGAAATTTTAGTCATTTACTTCAAAGCTCTGTCTTATTTTGATGTATATTCATACAAATTACTCGAAGTCTCAATGGAAATAAAAAGTAGGGAATATTTTATAAGAATATCTGATGCAAAATTAATGGATTTGTTTTGTATGACAGGCCGTTTCATAGAGGGTCCTCCTGGCGAGCCTGGTCAGAAGGGTGAAACGGGAGAAAAGGGTGACAGAGGCTTCGATGGACAATCTCTTCCAGGACCACCAGGACGACCGGGGGAAATCGGAGCCCCTGGGCCACCGGGTCCACCACGTAGGGCTAATTTATTACTTCATTTACTTTGTTGTGCTTCCAAAACTGTTTTTTGTAATTCACCACGTGCATGTATGGCTAACGTAGTTAACCCTGAAGAGTGCAATATGGAGAAAGGAGACCGTGGTCCAGCTGGACCTCCAGGATTATCAGGGGAAGATGGGCAAAAAGGTAATGATTGCTGATATTACTGATATATGTTTCAACGGTTTTAAGGGACAGCGGCGGCTGCTGATGCTCAAATTTTTAACAAGTTCATTAAGGCACAGCATAGTTTCTTGATAGAATTTTGCCTAATTTTAGGTGAGAAAGGAGATGCCTGTGTTACTTGTGAAGGCAGCGGCACACCTGGATTACCTGGCCCAGCAGGGGTTAAAGGAGAGCGAGGTAGGTAAACCATGAGCACAAACCAATGATGAATGTTTAAGTTCAATGTTCAAAAAGCTTGTGTGCAGTTAAAAGAAGAACATTTGGTTGCTGATATGCCAACACAGTATTTTCCACTTTTGGGGAAAAACTAGATGGCAACCCACTTAAGGTATTATCAATCATTGTACTACCTAAAGAGCTGCCATAAACTAAACATCTAAAATTTCTTACCCAGAAAGAAAAAAGAAAACTATTGTGTTCAGGTCTTAGTTCACATTTCTTAGTTTTATGTGTAGGTGTTGCATTAGCTTCAGTAATACACTATGTTAGGTTAAGGTTCCTTTTCTGCAAGGATCAATGTGGTTTCTAGGCTTTTCCATTCCATGTGGAACCAATTCTATTGAGCATAAAGTCCTCCATTATTGCCTTGCATTGCTGCCGCTGATGAACATTAAGATCGGCTTGTGTAACCCCCCCCCCCCCCCCCCCCCCCCCACACACACACACACACACAGCAATAAGTTTTCATGAGTTTATTTAAATTTTGAAAGAATCCCCCCAAACACAAGACGTCATTGAGACGTTGGTTTTCAGCCTAAATCTGGTCGGTCCGTCATATTCTTGATTTAGTCCAGAAATACTTGTTGAAAATTGTGCTGTATTTGGTCCATCTGATTTTGTCCCACTGTAGTCCAATAATAGATATTGAAAAAACATTGCAAACAGGCTTTTCATCGATCTGGAAATTACGGCTTTTCACCTTTAGCTTTTCAACCTAACGTAGACATTGTTTAAACGTAAATCATGTTGTCTTTAGACATAAGACTCTTTTATGCCCTTTGACATGAGGATCTGGTTTCTCCACTTGTGTAGAAAATACCTGACACAAATGAGGCAAATAAAGTTGTACCAATGGAAAGGCGCCATCAGTTCCTTTGTTACCTGCATGGAAGATGTGTTTCTATGAATTGTTTTTTCTAGTGTGTATCTGGTCAGTCATTTTGTAGTTGTTGAAAGAAACCTGTTCTGGTCTTGAACATAAAGAATTAAGCCTTTATATATTCCAATCACATCTGTCCTGCTGTAAACAGTTTGCAAACTAATTTCTTGCTGTTTTCAAACTGAAAAGGAGATGGTTTTAGAAAGCTTTGATTAGTGAAAACTTCTTAAGGAACTGAGGGCTGGTAGTGGCTTTTTTAGAAGCAGAAGTTGCTCTCATCTTTTGGTTCCTGGATCCTGCCTTTGGTCTTTGCTGATTGGGCTCTCGACCATGTAGCCAGTTATATGCCCTGCCTGGATGAGAGGTCTTCTCCCAATGATAATATCCGCTTTCCTGTGGAAAAACCCAAATTTCAGTGTAAAGGTTCAGTTTACCTAAAAAAGATAAATGTTGATCATTGTGTAGCATATGCTTTCCAATTAGATTAAGTACCATCATTTGTGAAAAGTTCTTTGTAGAAAACTCAGTTCCTAAGAGAAACAAATTATATTGATTAATTACATGTACCCTGATAGTTCATAAAAATACTACTTGTATATTAAATAGTACTTGTACAGTGTTTAATACCTGCTTTGTTTCAAAAAGATGATTTTACTCAGACAAAGAGCCTCATAAGCAGACATATTCCAATTTATTGACTATTGTAATAATGACTGTTTTGTGCAACAGGGGCACATGGAAGTTCATGAGCTGCTATGAAAATGTCATGACAATTGCAACTGTTAAATTCTGTAAACTGGACTTCAGTTTTATCTAATAGGATTTGGATATTTGTTTTCAGGTGTCTCTTATTTACATTGAAATTAATTAGTTAGAGTTTTGCAGGTAAAAATAAAAGAGTTTTGAACCCAATGGTCTGTTTTACTTGACAGGTCCCCCAGGTCCAGTTGGGGGTAAAGGAGAGAAGGGTCGTTCTGGGCCACCTGGAGAACCTGGAATTCCTGTGAGTTTAAAACAATGTCTTCATGTCAATTATATAACAGTTGCACAGATCCAAAAATAAATAAGAAATACATGATATCTAAATGATATCCATATTTTAACTGATAGTAATGTGTACCACCACATGTATTTTTGTGCAGGGTCCTGCAGGAACTCCTGGATTGATGGGGGCCCCTGGTGCTGTAGGTGAACCTGGAGACATTTTTATAGCGCCCGGGTATAAGGGGGAGAAAGGTCTTCCTGGATTTCCTGGATCACAGGGACAACCAGGCAAAGATGGACTGCCAGGGAGAGATGGATTTCCAGGTCAACCAGGTCTCAAAGGAGAACCTGTAAGTGCATTGATACAGTCATTTAGCCCTGCAGCTATGCTTATTTTAGTTATTAAGTATGTAACTGATCACTCTGAAGCAGGGGGGGATCTAGGATTCTAGGAGATCAGGGGCTTAGCCCTGAGGGTGAAGATGAGAGAGTAGACTTTCTGCTAAATCCCGTTCTAATGTAAAATATGACAGATTACTGGATTAAAGAAGTTTCTAGTATACAACATGCTATCATACATAAAAATTCCCCCCTCCATAGCATGGGAAGAAATTCATTTATCTACAAGTCTTTTAACAGTGCAACTCTAAATTGATCTAGTCTTATGTTGGGAACTTGTTGTTTCACAACAGCTGCTATGAATTAGTGCAATCAACTCTTAGTAGGTCCACTCAGAGTTGAGTACGTGTGTGGCAAGTATGAAACGCCATTATCAGTGGAGCACCTATTCAATGAGTCACCATTACAACAGGCAACAGTTCACACAACTGGAACCAGAGATTTTAATGCAGAAATAAAAAAAAATGGATAATGTGTTTAAAGGACAAAGAAACAGCACTACAGCTGCAAAGGAGAGGAAGATGGCGAAGAAGAAGATTGTTGATCGAATTACATGAAGATTGTTCCTCGAGTTAATGCAAGGGTTTATATGAAGTGGGCTAAGCCAGGCCTTTTTTACATTTATTAAAAGCACTCTCCTCTCTGTTGTCCCATTTGTAGATCACTAAAATAAGATTCTTCCTGATCAAAATCACAATCTTCGACGGTATTGTAATAATATATTTTCTACAATACATTTTTGCAGCAGAAACTGAATTTCAGAAAGTAAAAAACTAAATTATACCTCTAAGAATTAAGTTTGATATACTTAAAAATATTTACACATTTTAAGTGGCTGTTTTTACATTTATCAGCTTGACTGAATATGTATTTAGCATATATCTACATTTCTTCATAGTCAAAAAAATATAAATCCTGTTGTGACCATAATAACACTACGGGTTTATCTATTGAATGGTAGTGTATCAATGTATCTATTTACCTGGCAGCAGGTGATAATTAAGTCTAAAAATGTTGTTCTAATAGATAGAACTTGTGCATCATCTCATGGGTTCCTCCTAATGTGTATTCTGTTGTCTTTTACACAGTAAATGCTAAGTGGCTGTTTTGCGCTACTTTGGATGTTATCATCCCAATAAATGGTCGTTATTAGCGATCATCATTCCCATAGAATGGCTTCAGATTGTACCAGTAGGCTCATTAGGTTGTTATCACTGAATGATAAAGTTGAAAATGAAGAATGATCTGCATGTCGCTCATATTAAGCAAACCAAAAACAAATAAATCTAATTTCCTGTCAACTGAGTTGTAGAATCCCCTTCTTATAAATATTTAAATCTCTGTGAAAAAATGCTGATCAGTCTTTAATAAGCTCCTCGTCAAACGGACATGCAATGTTTATTTTTAAAACCTAATGTGTCTAACGGACATTTTTTTTTTAATGCACAAATCTGTGAGATAAATCTGACCAAATCAGGAAATAAAACAAAGTGACTGGCTCTAAGGAGAGCGGAGACAGAGTTCAGGGAACAAAACCTGTTCCCGACCAGTTTAGCCCTGGGGAGAATGATAGTACGGTGACTGAAACAGAGGTTCAATTAACTCTCTTTGTGAAACGGAAAACTCAAAGTTTCCCTGATTTCAATTTTAGAAAACTTTTCAGTAAACCTGCTTCTTGAAACGGACCCCTAATGACTCAATGCTGTTGTTTCTTCTTGGATGCAGCCCTGTGCACACACTGTGCAGTCATATGTCAGGACACTTTGTATTGTACATCAGTTAAAGCTTTTAAGCAGAGGTGGATGGAGTTTATTTGTCTGTCTTCTCGGGAAGAAAAAGATGCTGTTGAGTCTTTTTCAAATCAAATAAACCTGATTTACAGTGCACCTTCCAACGCCACATTATAATGACCAAAACAGTTTACAGAATATTAATGAAGGATATTATTTCACTATACTAATATAAATTATTACTGAAAATTAAAAAGATTTTTTAAATACATAACCCTTGTTTTGGGCTTTGAACAGATGCAAGTCAGTGAGTGAATATAGTTCTTAGGGAAGACTATTCCAGGATGTTAGACCAGCCACTAAATATGAATGATCCTCACATCGGTTACCCCTAGAGGGACAGGCCTCCAGCAGATATTGGCCAGCAGACCATAAAACTCTGCTGGTCTAGTGGGTTTTCACACAAAGCCATTCAATTGTATGTGTAATGCAAAGAGCTACATAAGGCCCTAGAATGGATTCCTGCGGCACACCATACATCAGTGGAATCGAGGAGGAGTAAACCAGATCAAATACCATGTAGGGGGCAGGGCTCTGTATATTAAATGTACTTAAATCATTAAGCTGTAACTCAGTACTTTTTGCTAAAGCTGAAGTAAAGAAAAGCTGTTATAAATGCTTGCTATTGAGAATTGAGGAACCTATTGGACCATTCTCTGTTGTAGCTTGTAGAAACTGTTCAGGTACATACATTTTGTAACCATAGTCTGAGACTTCTCCTTTGTATTGAAGAAAAAGTTGTATCTCAATTTGCATTTTTCTTTGTCAAACTATGTCCCTAAAAAGCAAACGCATTTTAATGGACAGACTTCAGCAACTCAGGAGGATGAATTTTGGGTCATACATTTTTGTCTGACTTTGAAAGTACCTTTGAGCCTCAGCCTGTTTTAACACAGCAGTGTTCCAACTGCAGGTTGCTGTTGCCGAACCGCCAGAATTGATAAAGACTCCTGGATATATTTAAACATTTTCGGAAAAACTCACAAATATCCAAGTGTCTGTGATGGTTAGAATTTTGCACAGGCAAGTGCATTTTAAGTTATTTTGTCATGTCTCTATCACAGGCCAAAGAGGGTATAAAAGGAGAACGTGGACCAGAGGGGGAACCTGGTCTGACTGGTCCTCCTGGAGAAAGGGGGCCCCCTGGGATTCCAGGGTTTGGCCGACCAGGTGAACCTGGAGAGAAAGGCAGTCAGGGAACACCAGGCCGTCCAGGAGTTCCAGGACAACCTGGTAATCATTAGAATAAACACTAGAAACACAGCGAGTTATTGCATTAAAACTTTAGCATTTCACTGAAAATGTCCATATGTAAAAGGCATAAAGGGAGAACCCGGTAAAGGTGTTAGCACTCCAGGACCCCCGGGGCCACCTGGACCACAAGGATTTAATGGAATACCAGGACTGCAAGGTAAGTAGCAGCACGGTCATCATAAATACATCTATTTTAAAGGTGTTTCTTATTTAATTCTCAGATCCTACTCAGGTCACTGATCTTCGTTGAGTTTATAATGCTAAGTATTTTTTTTCTTGCAGGTGAAATAGGACTGCCAGGTGACCAAGGTCTACCAGGTTTTCCTGGACAAAAGGGTGAACTTGGACCACCTGGAATTGGATTTCCTGGCCCACCGGGTCCTAAAGGTAAAACAGATGACATATAATACCCCACTGTGGGATTTCAAAAGTAACCATGAGAAAACGATCTGTATGTTTCCAGGACTCAGTGGAATTCCTGGAACTAAAGGATCACCTGGAGTGCCAGGTAGACCAGGACAGGATGGCCTGACTGGAAAACCTGGTCTACCAGGACAAAAAGTGTGTATTTTTCCACATGTATTTGTGCTGTTGATTAAACACGTGAAAAGAAAACCTAAGCTGTGAAATTCCTAGTATATTCTTTTATAGCCTCTGATAAAGATTGCACAAAACCATTAAAAAAAATTTTTAATTGCCGCACATATCTAAAATTTGGCAGTGAAGAATTACTTAGGAAATATATGCAATTCCTTAAAAATATCTTTAGATTTTTGACAGGTCCTCTTTTCAAACATTTTAGGGTGAACCTGGACGGGGTCTTCCTGGACCAAAAGGTTCACAGGGCAACCCAGGAGTCACTGGTTTCCCAGGAGACAAGGGTGGCGTGGGTTTCCCAGGTATTCCGGGGCCAGAAGGAAAGACAGGACCCCCAGGACCTCAGGGTGTTAAAGGTAACAATGGAAGCTGTGAAAAGTCAAGCTTAATTGTGCTTTGTACACAATGTGAGCTAATCATTATTGAATATGTTTCATTAAAAAAAAGGTGAAGTTGGACCTCCAGGACCACCTGGTCAGATTGGCCAACCAGGGGCTCCAGGGAAAGGCTTACCTGGACCACAAGGACCCCAGGGACCACGTGGAGAACCAGGACCCCATGGTAAACACAAACTCACTACCTTTCCTAGCATTTTTACTTTTATAAACCAGGACCTTTAATGATGCGGGTAATGCTGCAATTTAAGTAGAAAAACAAACATTTGAATAAGTATACTTTTATACATTAATCGAAAGTATATTATGTTAAGTATATCTTAATTCAAAGAAAATGAACGGCATTTTCTTTATACAGGTAGAGAAGGTATAAAAGGAGCAAAGGGCTACCCTGGCCCTCCAGGTCTGGATATGCCGGGGCCTCAAGGAGACAAAGGAAGCCCTGGCCTCCAAGGAATCCCAGGGGTCAAAGGAGTGCCAGGTTTACCAGGTGTGCCAGGCAGAGATGGGTTGATTGGGTACCAAGGTGAGTGAATCAAACAGAAGTGTTTTTAGTTCTAAAACATTTTAAAATGTTTTCTTTAATCATCTTTATCAGCTGAGATTCAGTAAAGCAAAAATAATTAAATTTCTCTATTTTCTGTTTTCACTCAAAACAAGCTCTGTTTGTCTCAATACTTACAGTTTTGTGTTACAGATAAAGATAAAATTATTTTGGATAGTCAAACCAAATCTTGCTAAATCTTTCATCATCTTTCATTATATTTTAGGCTGCTGGATCACATAGGGACCACTTTCTCTTATTCTGCATCATTCTGTCTCTACTCTCCCATTTGGCAGTATTTGTCAAGTTCCACTCATAACTTAATGCTCTCTCAGCTTTTTCTCATCATAGTAGTTTCATCTGGTCTGTTCCTGTTTGGCTGTGACTCCATCCTAGATTGAAATATTGCCGTGCTGCTGCCATCAACATCTTAGTTAATAGATATTTGAGCTTGGCATGTTTTTCCATGTAGTCCTGTTTCTCTGACTGTGATTATCAGAACTGGCTTGGAGCTCATCTGCCTGGTTGCGTCTTTCCTGGATGGGGTCCGCCTGTTTAACTACTTAATAGTTACTTTTTTTATATCTGCTTCTCTCTCCTTGAACCCAAATCGGCCTCAGCAGATGGTCGCTAGCACTGAGCCCGGTTGTTTTGCAGGTTTCTTCCTGTTAAAAAGGAGTTTTCCTCTCCAATCTTGCTGCATGCATGCTCGATATGAGGGATTGCTGAAGAGTCATGTGACGTTTACAACGCATGTCCTTTAAGCAGCAAAAAAAGTGCCTGCTACTTAATTTTTTATGCTTGTACACATTAAAGGCAGAGGTGCGTCAGGAGCATCTATGATGCTCCTAAAGCGTCCAGTAAAGTGTGTCCAGATGCATCTGATGCTTCTGCTGCTCCTGTGTTCAATGGCAGAGGACAGCTTGCTGTGATAAGCTGGTTAAAAAGTAGTTTTAATATATTTTTAAGCGAGACAGTAAATCTTAAAACATCGTCTTTGTAGTCAGTTCATCAAGATTACGATCCTGCCTTCAAATTTTATTTTGCTGTCAGAGCCGCATAGACCCCCACATACAGCAGCAGCAGTGCCCTGTCACTGGGAATCCCCAGCAGCTGCTGCCTCAATCCCAGTCAATTCTTGGAGGATTTTCCCCTAATGTTTGTGGTGGGTGGGAGTAGATGTTAGCGTTTTTCAGGTATGTGGTACAAACTGCAGGCACCTGAGTAATGAAAGCAAACATATTTTGCCGGCAGGTTTCGACATGTTTAGCTAATTTAGCCGTTAATAGACTGTTTCAGGGGAGTTGTCATACCTCTACATCAGCAGTGCTGTGTCGGTTTCTCTGTCAGCTCCAAGATCAGCTTCTCTGATTGGTTGATGTGGCGCGCCGAGCAGCAAAAGTACAAATTTTCAAACTCCAGCAGCTGCTGCTTGTTAAGCTCGTCATACGCCTCAGATGCTGAGAAGCTCATGATGCACTGCTCCTGCTGCTCAGATGCTCGTGCTGCAGGAGCTTTTGGTGCGCCTTGATGCGTATATCAACCATTCACTTTGCATGTAAAAGGGCTGATTCTGCTGCTTCAATCGCGTGCAGTGTGAATGTAGCATCAATGACATAAAGCAAGCGAAAATCGTCATTGCAGGCTCATCCAGAAGGAGCATATCTTGCAAGTCTATGACCATAAACAAGTAACTGGTTTTCTTAACCAATCTGTCAGTATTGTCTATTTAAAGTGCCTTGAGATGACTGGGTTATGAAAAGGCATTATATAAAAAAATCTAAATCCAGATTGAACATAATTCATCTTTTTGTTCCAAGCTCGAAAAAAAATAAATCATTTCATAATAACAGGACTGAGATGTTTTTTTTCTTCTGATTTTTAGCAGATTGTGCTCTTTAAAGTGTAATACCACCAATAACCCATAGGTTTTAATTTTCTGGATTAATCTTTGAAGAATTAATCTAATTTTACACATCTCTGAGATATGTTTATGCCTTTGGTAGCTTTTGGAAGCTCATCAATTAGTTCTAAATGTGGCCGTTATGGAACCCCATGCAAGTTCAGTTCTTAAAAGTACTTAAATTTTTGTCCCATTTTCCACTTATAACCAGATCAGTTTTCATTGAGGTGTGTAGTCCATTTAAAATGAGGGGCTCAGCAAACAACCATGCAGATACGTGCTCACTGTTCTATGGTTGACAGCCATGGAGTATTAACAGTGTAATTGCTATAGAACAGTTTAATTGCTGTTTTTATGTTTTACCTTTTCTAAATATTAAACCTAAGAATTTTTTTTAAAAAGTCTAAAATTTGATGCTCAAATTATTTAATTTCCAGATTTTTGATGAACAAAGATATAGTTATGAGTAGTGTAATAAAAGCGTTGCATTTTAATCCTATATTAATCTGATTTTTAGCCTCTCCAGCCCACCGTCCTCAGATTTGAGTTGTGGTTATAAAACGCTATGTGGTTCTGTATCTGTTTTAGGTCCCAAAGGTGAAATGGGGGTTATGGGAATTCCAGGAACACCAGGTTTTCCTGGACCAGCAGGTCAACCTGGATCACCTGGTCTGAGAGGTTAGACACACAAAACAAAAATGATCATAAATGGCTTATTAGCCCTTCTTTTAGTTCTCTCAGCAGCAGTAAAAATCTTGTTGTGTGACCTTAAATCATAGGTGATCCTGGTCTTACTGGACCAAGAGGAGAGGAGGGAAAAGAAGGAGAGAAAGGTGAGAGGGGAGATCAAGGTCCTATGGGACCTCCAGGAAAACTGACTGATTATGATATGGAGCACATGAAAGGCGAAAAGGGAGACACTGGTGACCCAGGTAATATTTAGCAACAGAGGCAGTTTCCTTTTATTTTCTACTTAATCCAATATTAATATAAATTCTCCACAAACAAGGTCAACCTGGTGTTGCTGGAGTCAAGGGTATCCCTGGCATTCAAGGAGACCCCGGAATGGCCGGTAAAGATGGTGAACCTGGATCACCTGGCCAGCCAGGTAGCCTAAATGACTAACTTAATTACAGACTATTTTACTGCACATTTATGAAATCCAATTTTATATATGGCTGTTTCGATTCAATGGTTCTGATGCTTCTAAGGCGAGAAGGGAGACCCTGGTTTTCCTGGAGATCCTGGTACCATGGGACCCCCTGGGCCAAAAGGCGGCATTGGAGACATGGGCATACCAGGTAGATGCATTCTAGGAAACATTTAGTATATATGTACGCGTATATATGTGGAATATTTATATATGCTTTCAAATAAGTGCTTGTAAATTAATTTGTTTTGCTTCTATGTATAATGTATAGGTCCGATTGGTCCAAAGGGTTCTAAAGGAGATATTGGTACACCGGGTCATCCTGGGTTCAAAGGGACAGATGGTGAAAAGGGGGACCCGGGAATACCTGGTGAACCAGGTATTGGTGTTCCTGGATATCCAGGAGACAAGGTAAAACACTGGAATGAAACTAGTAGTTCTTGTATTAGAACATATTTGAGCTTTTTAATGTTTTACACTGTCTTCGGTGCATTATATTGCATATATAGCATGGAAATTCTGAAGTGGGAAAAAAATATTTCAAAACTTTTTCACAAAATATCCTGCAAACTTTTTATTTTTACACTGCTCTTTTTCCATAATACCCCTACTCCACTATTCACCTTAAATAGTCCATCCATTTTCTGTCACCCTTATCTCGGCTGGGGTCACAAGGGGGGCGTGGTGCCTCTTTGTCTCTATGGGAAGAAGATGGGCTCACCCTGGACAGGTCGCCAGTCAATCACAGGGCAACACAGAGACAAACTCGACAAGCATACACCCACACTTAAGAAGAATTTAGAGAAGCCATTTAGCCTAACAGTCATGTTTTATGGGCTGTGGGAGGAAGCCAGAGTACCTGGAGAGAACATGCCAACTCCTTGCAGAAAGACCCCGGGCCAGGAATCGTACCCAAAACCTTCTTGCTGCAAGGAAGCAGTGCTACCCACTGCGCCACAGAGGCACACCTTAAAAAGCCCCTTGATAATTTAATACAAACCAGGTGTGTGTGATTTAATAAGGCTATCAGTTGAAGTTTAATTACATAAAATTAACATAGGGCAACTATTGGTCATTCCCTCCACACATCTGGCCTTTATGGAAAAGTATAAGGATGTAAAAGCATTGTTGAGAGAATGCCTCAAGAATACACTTTATTAGTTTGCCAAACTGCAACATGTTGAGGAAGATCATCTGGTCAGGTGCAACAATCTGATCTGTTTAGCCAAGCAAATTACTGTGTGATGGTATGATGCACACTGCACTGACCTCTCCATTTTCATTTTGAAACATGGTGGTGCAGAGTTCTGCACAGGTCTGATTTTAAAAAACTGCATCTGCCTGCACCCGTAGAGTTCAGAACCGAGACCTGACCCATTACCCCTAATTGTCCCCATTTAAAACCAGAGACCGCTCACACCCATAGAGTTCAGAAGAGAGACCTGACCCATTACCCCTAATTGTCCCCATTTAAAACCAGAGACCGCTCACACCCATAGAGTTCAGAACCGAGACCTGACCCATTACCCCTAATTGTCCCCATTTAAAACCAGAGACCGCTCACACCCGTACTGTAGAGTTCAGAAAAGAGACTCAAGCCGTTACTAAAATATACCTCACATTTTACTGCCCATCTCTCACTTACTGTCCTCTTAATTCTCGCAGGGTCAGACAGGTCAGCCAGGATTTCCAGGGCCCCGTGGAGACAAAGGGGAGAAGGGTCAGGAAGGAATGCCTGGAAAACCTGGACACCAAGGACCAAAGGGAGACAAAGGAAGCACTGGGTATCCAGGTTAGACGTGAAACTGATTTTTCCAGCACTTTTCTCAACCATGACACCTGCTGTTTTTTTTTTTTTTTTTTTTTTTTGGTGAGTACCCACTCTTGTTTGTGTCTCTGTTTTATAAAGGTCAAGCAGGCAGGCCAGGAGAGAAGGGTAATCCCGGACTTCCTGGATCTGCTGGAGAGCCTGGTCGTGATGGCCGTCCTGGTATGTAGGGTTCCTGTTTTCTCAGCAAGAAGGAGCTATGTTTATTTAAGAAGAATAAAAATAGATAAGTTGTTTGATATATAGGCCTATATCAGTCAAACATTTTTATTCTTTGTTTGTCTGCGCTTTGTCTTGGTATCCAAGGGGATTGGCTCATAACAAGGAAGTAGAGACGGTTTAAACACTGCACTGAAGTAGTTCCTTATTGTACTTCTTGGTTTGTAAGGAGAAAAACTTGATATTGTTGATGGAGAGGGTAGATTGTTTATGGGGAATGTTCAATTTATCCTTGGTTACAAATGTTAATCATTTGGGTTAATGTGACTGTAAATTTCTCACTTATTTCTCCTTTAAATAAGTAAATTTGCATGTTTTTAAGACAAACAAGATGCATGAAATGCTGTTGATTGAATTGGATTTTTCTTCAGGGGAAGGAGGCCTCCAAGGACCTCCTGGTCCTCGGGGAGAGAAGGGTGAACCCGGAAATGATGGCATTCCTGGATCCACTGGGGAGAGAGGAGACCCAGGTTGGTCCTTTTTATTAAAAGCTGAAAGAGCAACAAATAAACAATATATTTCACACTACTAAAGAAATATTATTTTAGGAGGGGTAAGTCTTAGTCTGACTAAATAAGTCTGACCTCGAGTCAATAGTTTGTACAGTCTTCTGTCTATGCATATCTTTTGGGCCAGCTCAAAAACAGGTAGACTTTTTTCCTAATTTAAATGATAATGGTCTAGTTTGTAGACGTCTCACAAAGGGGATTCCAAAAGGATGCATTTCATTATTTTTTGTTTATCCAGCAATATAAAGCTGTAATCTATGATCTGATCACAAGGACTTGATGGTACACCAAAGGTTTTAGCTGCAATTGTATATCCTCTCTAAAGTATATTATCCCGTTTCTCTTGTTAAATATTTTATATTTTCTATACTTTATAAAAACCCTTGACATCCTACTCAATACAAAAGAAATCTTATTTCAGGGGATAGTTTGCCTAGTTATTAAATTATTATTAATATCATAAGTATGCTACAGCAAATATTGCAGAAATATTCTTAGATAAAAAGGAACTTAGTTTGAATCAATTTTAAAAAATGATTTACCTTTTTTTTTATTAAACATTTTGAAAAAGGTAAATATAACCATTACTAATATGTACATGTTTATTTTCTCATTTCTTTATATTACTGCTGTTTTTAAACCCACAGAACATTGTAATGACATAAAATAAAACTTCTATATGCTCTTTTCTGCAGGTTTACCAGGTCAAGGTTTTCCCGGACCACCTGGAGCTCACGGTGGAAAAGGTAACAACCTGTTGTACATTGACTCATGTGACCCTCATGATGCTATCAGACAACAGCATCTCACTGTGCAGCCTGTTCTCTACCTCTTCAGGTGAAAAGGGGGATCCAGGTCTGCCTGGCATGCCTGGTCAGTCAGGTATTCCTGGTATAAAAGGCGAGAAGGGATTCCCTGGCCCTCAGGGACCACAGGGAGAGCCAGGAGAACGTGGTCTTCCTGGCCTTTCCCTGGAGGGACCCAAGGGAGAGCAGGGAGAGAGAGGACCATCTGGAGAAGCGGGTAATGTGAAAATTCTGACAAAAGTATTGCATGTGTTAGAGGTCCTGAAACACTGCAGAGTTTTCAGAACCTGTAATATAGGAGATTTTTAACTGTGATATATTTAATATATTGTGTTCTGTTAAAAAAAAACAACAACAAAACAGGAACCCCAGGAGAACCAGGTCCTCATGGAATTCCAGGAAGAGAAGGCCAAAAGGGAGAGAAGGGTGATGCTGGTCGGCCTGGTTTCCAGGGGGAGTCTGGACAAAAGGGTGACTCTGGAATACCTGGACTTCCTGTATGTTACTGTTTAATTACCTGATAAATCCCTGTGACAAATCACTAAGAGCTACAAATATAGATGACCTTTGCTTTGTGATGGTTTCAGGGTCCGACTGGCCTCCCTGGTATCGATGGAGTGAAGGGAGAGCGAGGAGTGCAGGGGGTTCCTGGCTTCCCAGGTAACTTTCAATCGAAGAGCATAACTTTGATAATTAATCTCGAATTTTAAATCGCCACTACACATAATTTATGATGGAGATATTTCTGCTATAATTCTTCACCTTCCCTATGTGCTGTTCAATTTCCCCCCATCTGGTAGATTAATAACTCTTCCAACAAGGCAGAGTATTTTTTAGGGCTTTTTGTGTTAAAAAAAATATATAAACACACACACACACACACACATATATATATACACTATATTGCCAAAAGTATTTGCTCACCCATCCAAATTATTGGAATCAGGTGTTCCAATCACTTCCATGGCCACAGGTGTATAAATTCAAGCACCTAGGCATGCAGACTGTTTTTACAAACATTTGTGAAAGAATGGGTCGCTCTCAGGAGCTCAGTGAATTCCAGCGTGGAACTGTGATAGGATGCCACCTGTGCAACAAATCCAGTCGTGAAATTTCCTCGCTCCTAAATATTCCACAGTCAACTGTCAGCTGTATTATAAGAAAATGGAAGTGTTTGGGAACGACAGCAACTCAGCCACGAAGTGGTAGGCCACGTAAACTGACGGAGCGGGGTCAGCGGATGCTGACGCGCATAGTGCGAAGAGGTCGCCAACTTTCTGCAGAGTCAATCACTACAGACCTCCAAACTTCATGTAGCTCAAGAACAGTGCGCAGAGAGCTTCATGGAATGGGTTTCCATGGGCGAGCAGCTGCATCCAAGCCATACATCACCAAGTGCAATGCAAAGCGTCCGATGCGGTGGTGTAAAGCACGCCGCCACTGGACTCTAGAGCAGTGGAGACGCGTTCTCTGGAGTGACGAATCGCGCTTCTCCATCTGGCAATCTGATGGACGGGTCTGGGTTTGGCGGTTGCCAGGAGAACGGTACTTGTCTGACTGCATTGTGCCAAGTGTAAAGTTTGTTGGAGGGGGGATTATGGTGTGGGGTTGTTTTTCAGGAGCTGGGCTTGGCCCCTTAGTTCCAGTGAAAGGAACTCTGAATGCTTCAGCATACCAAGACATTTTGGACAATTCCATGCTCCCAACTTTGTGGGAACAGTTTGGAGCTGGCCCCTTCCTCTTCCAACATGACTGTGCACCAGTGCACAAAGCAAGGTCCATAAAGACATGGATGACAGAGTCTGGTGTGGATGAACTTGACTGGCCTGCACAGAGTCCTGTCCTCAACCCGATAGAACACCTTTGGGATGAATTAGAGCGGAGACTGAGAGCCAGGCCTTCTCGTCCAACATCAGTGTGCGACCTCACAAATGCGCTTCTGGAAGAATGGTCAAAAATTCCCATAAACACACTCCTAAACCTTGTGGACAGCCTTCCCAGAAGAGTTGAAGCTGTTCTAGCTGCAAAGGGTGGACCGACGTCATATTGAACCCTATGGATTAGGAACGGGATGTCACTTAAGCTCATATGTGAGTCAAGGCAGGTGAGCAAATACTTTTGGCAATATAGTGTATATATATATATATATATATATATATATATATATATATATATATATATATATATATATATATATATATATATATATATATATATATATATATATAAAGCTGGGGTGTGGTCCTGCATAGTGGTGTGTGTGCGGTGTGCAAAACTGGTCTCCTATTAGCTTATTCTATGGGCTTATCCCTTTATAGGGCAGGTTAACATTTTTGATCACTTCACTTGCATACACTTACTAATGGACTCCCTCAGTGTGGTCTAGAAGCACAAGATCTATACCCAGCCGTTCAGCAAAGATACTGCTACATGGGTGTACATCTTAATTTGGCATTTGACCAATTAGATGAGCCTTTGAATGATATATTACCTATTGTAAATTAAGTTGGAAAAAAAAGTTAACAAGTCAAGAAAAAAGGTAAAAAGATAAAAAAGATAAAAAGAAAAGTTAAAAGATGAATTTAACAAGTTAATAAGCCTAGTTAACAATTATATTTAGGTTTATAAACTAAAAAATGTAAGTACCAGTGTCAGCATTAATGCCTCTAAGTCAGGGGTGTCAAACTCATTTTCACTGAGGGCCACATCAGCGTAATTGCTGTCCTTAAAGGGCCAGATGTAACTTATAAATGTAACTAAATGTAATTGAATGTAATGTAAAATAAATGTAACGACTCCTTAATGTTAAATAACTCATTATTTATTATAACTTATTCAAGTGACAATTACAGTTGCATAGAAAACATATGCTTGCTTGTTGCTCTAACACACACGTGTCACACAGCCGCTTCCTGCCTAGTCCTCCTCATCGGTCTCTCCCCCTCCGCCCGAATCACTATCATCGATATTTTGAAGCATTTCTAAAACCTGTTTCACTGTTAGGTTTCTTCTGAAGGCCACTTTTTCCATATTAGCCAAAAAGTTCTAGGTAGAATGTTGGTTGCTAGGCAACGGTACCAATCGTCAATCAACCGCGGGAAGACTTTACAATGCAACTAATAGAGCCGTCAAAATGGCGGTTGTGGGGGATCGAGGTAGAATTAACCATAATTATTTTTTACGTTTTAATTGTATTAAAAAAAAAAAGTGAAAATGAAGGAAATTTAGAAACAGGAAAATTGAGTTAACATGAGCAACATAAATTTAATTTTAAATATAGTTCTTTCCCTTTAAAATCTCAGAACCATCAAAATGACGGCTGTGGGAGTTCTAGCGGGCCACATAAAATGACGTGGCGGGCCACATCTGGCCCGCGGGCCTTGAGTTTGACACATGTGCTCTAAGTAGTTGTATCAAAAAAAAAAAAATGTGTTTCTTTCACTCTGACTGTTTTTCATGAATTTGTTATAGAAACACTTTTGTTATTTTTCTTGGAGTGTCTTGTTATTACATTGACATCCCTTTTTGCGATCAAAATATCCATATTTTTTATGTTGCAAAGGTAATAAGGTCTTGTCCTGGATTCCAGTAACACTATCGTCTTGAAATTTTATTTTTCAAAGTATTTCACTGAGTGCCCGATAAACGGCTATTAGAGCTCACACTGCAGTTAGCAATAAAAGCTTTACTACCTGATACAGACCTAACTGATATAGCCAAGAGCAATGCTGAATTTTATTTTTTAGTAACTAGCATAAAATAGATTAACTGGTTAATCCAAAGACCTTATACTGCAGCAAAGATTAGTTAAAGCTTAAAAAAGAATCAGCTATTAAGATTGCAGCATAATATCACTGTTAGCTTAAAAAAATGCAACCTTTAGAAACATTTACTAAGCTGAGAAAATCATTAATATGGTACAAATGAAGCATAAGGTTGGGGTTTAGATAATTTATCTTTGCACAATCAGTTTACACTTCAAATATCTGCTAGCAGGGGCTAGCCCGGTGCCCCCATAGAACTAGCCCTGGGCCCCGTCACTGAAGACTACTGTGTTAATTTGATGATGGATGATATGCTTTGGCAAAGAAATCTAAATTTAATTACCGTATTTTCACGACTATAAGGCGCACTTAAACGTCTTTTTTTCCCCTCAAAATGTGAGGTGCGCCCTTTGGTGCGGTGCGCCCTATGTGTGTTGTAACTGCGACTTTTGAGACCACCTCATTGAGGAGATGATAAAAGAGTGGCTGAATGTAAGGAGACTAGGTGTTTTTTTTTTCCACTCATCACCATCGCTGTTAATCTGTGACTACATGCGTGCCCATCTCACAGCTGATTTGAAAAACATGGTGAAACAAATTAACGCTGTGCTCGCTGTTATTCAACCGCTCGACATCGGTGTGAACCGGACCCAGCAGGTGCAGCAGAAGCAGCGTGTTTACATGCAAAGTCAATGGTTGACGCGCGCATAGGCGCAGCAAAAGGTCCCGCAGCGCGTTTTGAGCAGCAGGCGCTGCGCGTCAGGAGCGTTTAAGCATCTGCCAACGCGCTGCTGCTGCTCGAGATGGAAAAATTGATGTTTAGCTGCTGGACGTGCCGCATCAACCAATCAGAGAAGCTGATCTGGGAGCTGACAGCAAGACAGACACAGCGCTCTGATGACATATGATATTAAGGCAAATGAAAAAGGCTGGATGGATGAGGAGATGATGAAAGCGTGGCTGAGGCAGGTGTATGTGAGGAGACCAGGTGGTTTTTTCCACGCATCACCATCGCTGTTAATCTGTGACTGCGTGCCCATCTCACAGCCGATGTGAAAAAAAAGGTGAATCAAATGAACGCTGTTATCCCGGGGGGTCTGACAAAGGAACTTCAACCGCTCGACATCGGTGTGAAGCGGCCGTTCAAAGTAAGGCTGCGAGCGGCGTTTGAGCGATTGATGACAGACGGAGACCACAGTTTCACGATAAGTGGAAGGCAGCGCCGGGCAAGTTACGCCACAGTTTGCGGATGGATTGTAGATGCTTGGACTAACGTGTCTGCTGGCTCTGTTGTTCGAGCTTTCGCAAAAGCCGGCATTATTTCTGAGGAGCCGCCCGGCACGGAAAGTGACTCTGACAGCGAAGAAGGAAAAAACTGGCATGTCTCATTTAGCGCAGCTGTTTAATTCAGAAACAGAGGATGATGACTTTGATGGGTTCAATTAATACTTTGTAATAAATACTTGAATAAAGCACAATCATACTCAGTTTTGCTCCCGCTCTATTTTTCTACCTGAAAACTTAATTCAACAGCAGCCTCTGGGCCGGGTCTCCTCCGGTTTCTCCGCGGCGGCTGGCAGGTGTTTTTTCATCTAAATAATCTAAATCTTGCAGCTATATTTGCTGTGATCAGTGGGAATAAAGTAGTTTTAATATGTTTTTAAGTGAGAAAGTCCACCTGAAAACTTAAAGGAGAAGTTCGGTTTTTAACACTTTTAGCCCATTTTCTGTAGTGTCCAGGATGAAATCGAATGATCGACACCAAAATTTTGACAATTGGTCCTGTCTCTGCTTTTTGGCTCATTTAGAATCCACCCCTGGCTGCTTTAGAATGGCTTCCATAGAGCATGTCCGATAATGTCCTTAAAACAACCTTAAACGTTCTTTTTTTTAAATATGCTACTCACCGGGTCGTCAGCGCTGTTCAATGACGTTCCAAAAAAAGTTTCGTGAAGAAAAAACGTTCCTGTAGTGTTTTATTTAGCATTTTGTAAATCCCATTGAGTTCTGTTGGAATAGTCAATATTCCCCTGCCACCGGAAACGGAAATGGGGCCTGTTTACACAGTTGTAGTCTTTTCGCTTCCCTCTGTGTACTCCGACGTCGAGAATCAAGAATCCACCTTTCGTATTCCATTTTCAGAGTTTTTTAAAGTGTTTAACAGAGACGTTAGCACCTCGACGTCGGATTATCTATTTCTGTCGGAGGCGCTCAGACCCCCACATACCAGTGGTGCACCGACAGTAGAAATCCCTTCAACAGCAGCCTCTAGGCCGGGTAGCCTCCTGGTTCACCGCGGTGACTGGCAGGTGTTTTTCATCTAAATAATTTAAACTGCAGGCACCAGGATACCTGTAATAAAAGCGAACATATTCCGTCAGCAGGTTTCAGGAGTTTAATTTAATTTAGAAGTGATCACAGCGCTCTGTCATCTGCGATGTGTCTGTCTCACGGCCAGCTCCCAGGTTTGATTAATACTTTGTAATAAATACATGAATAAAGCACAGTCATACTCAATTTTGCCCCCGCTGTATTTTTAAATACGCAGTAGAGGTATTTAAAGGTAGTAGAGGACATGTACCTGTATATAAAAAACGCGCCCTATAGTCCGGTGCGCCTTATGTGTGTTTAATACAGAAATGGCACACGTAACTGAGACTGCGCCTTTTAGTACGGTGCGCCTTATGGTCGTGAAAATATGGGTAGCACTTTTTTTTTTATTAAATTGTGAGTGCGAAAAAAAAAAAGATTGCTGTGTAATAAGTGGCCTGTTCTATATAGCTTGTGCTGCAAATTTTGATAGTATGTAGGAAATTAAAGCCAACTGTCTGGTACTAGCAGTTTGAGGTTGTAAAAAAGATACATTTCTTAGTCATGGAGTTAGAAGTAATAAGTCTATTAATTAAAAGAATAATGATGAATATTGTCAATCATGTGCTTTATATAAGTATCATAAGATTCAAAAAGTGCTACAAACAAAAGTAAGCAAACAAACATTAAAACAACAAAAGTTTATTAGAAATCTGTCATAAAACATAAAAAACTTCCTCCAAAACCATCTGACAGAGATGGAGCCAAAGTCAAAATTTCATGAAGATTATGCTCTAAACAAGTGGATTTATGTTGCCCAAATGCTCAGAATAGCAATGTTTTTATGCACAAGATTTCACTATCAGATTAAAATGTGTTTAGATAAAAAAAAATCCTCAAAAGGCTTTAAAGATTCAATCCTTTCGTTTTTATTTAGTTTTAAGGTTTACATATTTTATTGTAGTATGTATGTATGTGCTTTCTAAAACACCTAGAATCAGTTTAAGTAAGTTATGACTGGTTAATACATGAATGGCCTCTATCTCTAGGTGATAGAGGTTCACCTGGCGACCCTGGATTCAAAGGAGAACTTGGTGACAGAGGATTCCCTGGAGAAAAGGGTAACTACAATCTTCTTTCACATTTCTTTTCTAGAGAAGGCCAAAAGCCAAAAGGATTTGGTATACCAATAAAGTTTGTTACAAGGACTTCAAGTGTTGCTAAAGTTTTCATCTTACCAGTTTGCTGACCCTCTTCATTTACCTTGATAGTTGGTGAAGTTGCACCAGCAATCTTTTGGATCTCTTCACACTTGTTTTCTTTCACATTTTCCCTAATTTATACCCAAATGTATTCTGTTTTCAGGTACTGAAGGCCCCCCTGGTCCCCCTGGCCCTCGAATAATGATCAAAGGAGATATTGGATTCCCAGGTGATCAGGGTTTACCTGGTCCTCAGGGACCACCAGGGCTTCCTGGACAGAAGGGACAGCAAGGTGAGCTTTTTCTCTTCATCGTAATCCTATTGTTGGGGTTGATGTTGATGTTAATTGTTGATCATTTCAACTCTTGCAAATGATTTTTGTTTTTTCCCTTTAGGTGTGACGGGTATCCAGGGCCTGAAAGGAGAAACAGGTATTAATGGATTTGATGGTCAGCCAGGAGCTAAAGGAGAACCTGGTATGCCAGGACCACAAGGTGAGAATGCGACAAGATAAGAGGTGGAGATCTTTAGTGATGTGAAGTTAGATTCCATTTTCTAACTCTTCTATGTATTTAGGACCCAGAGGATTTCCAGGTCCCCCAGGACCTGATGGTGTTCAAGGTCAAGTAGGTCCTCCTGGACCATCTTCCATGGAGCATGGTTTCTTGGTAACACGTCACAGCCAAAGTATTGAGGTTCCACTGTGTCCTGGGGGTACCAGGTTAATCTATGATGGATACTCCTTGCTCTATGTGCAAGGCAATGAGCGTTCCCATGGACAAGACTTAGGTAGGAAAAAAGGAAATGGGAAAGCGATGGGACATATGGAGAATTAGAGGAGGAATCTTTAAAGTATGTTTTTTTATTTTTTTTATTTTAGGTACAGCAGGCAGTTGTCTCCGAAAGTTCAGCCCCATGCCATTCTTATTCTGCAACATCAACAATGTGTGCAACTTTGCATCTCGTAATGATTACTCCTACTGGCTAACCTCACCGGAGCCGATGCCAATGAGCATGGCACCAATCACTGGGGACAGCATTAAACCCTTCATCAGCAGGTTTTCTTTCGACCCTGTTCTACTATGGCTGGCCTGCGTCATACCAAATATCCACAACATATTTTGTTGTTTTCATGTGTATGCAGGTGTGCTGTATGTGAAGCTCCGGCTATGGTGATAGCAGTCCACAGCCAGACAATCAGGATCCCACCATGCCCTGAAGGCTGGAGCTCTCTTTGGATTGGCTACTCCTTTGTCATGGTAACTGAATGTAGTTTCATTTCAATTCAAATTCAAAAATACTTCATTATCCCAAAGGCCAATTAAATAAAAAGGCAAGATCATCTTTGTACACTTACACTTGGAATCAGCTTGTGTAAAAATAGTGCCACACAAAGAAACTTTGCTTGCCTTCTAAAGCCAGATGATTTTGGTAGGTTTCTGTTCTCTAAGGTTGTTCAGACCTCTGATAATACAAACATTATAATTAGGGAAAGAAGAGGGATTTTTAGCTAAAAACCCCTCTTCAACATTGGTAAGATTATTCAGCAGTAACAAACTGAATGAAAAAAGAATCGTAGACTCAACTATTTTTCTCACATTTTTTACACCAATCTAAGACTTTTCTTCTTTCCTTTTGCACCTCCACTTGCCTACAAATAGAGCAAAATGGAAAAAAACATGTCATAAAATATAATTAACCAATAAGGTGTGATTATTTAATCGGAAGACTTTTTTTTTTACAACCAGTGTAAGCTTCTGACATAAAGCTTCATAAAGTCAAAGTACGTGATTAGGCCCCTTCAAGTTCTTTAGGTCTCTTGGCTCATAATCCTATGATTTCAAAAACACTTTCCTTGGACTTAGACAAGCGGTATATAGCAGTTGGAGTAAGATAAACATTACCAATATAAAGTGCAGCAGTGATCAGAAAGTAACAATGTAGAGAAAAAAGAAACTGGTACCAAACCAATAATGGTGCAAAATGGCATTAATGTGAAAAAGTTCAGTGCAGTGCAAAATACATGCGAAATGCAGTAGAACATTTAGCTGTGTCCTATTTAAAAGGATTATAAAATGTCAGCAACGTGGGTAGTGCAAAATAATGTTGAAAGTGACGCACAGTCTTGATTAGAGTTTCAACAGTCTGATGGCAGTGGGGAAAAAGCTGTTGCAGAACCTGTTGGTCTTGCAGTGAATGCAGCAAAGCCTCTTCCCAGAGGACAGCATGGCGATCAGTCCATTGCGTGGTTGTGAGGGGTCGCTGATGTTACTGGCTTAGGACATGCAGAGCTGGGAGGAAATGTCTTTTATGGAGGGGAGGGGAGCCCCGATGATCCTCCCTGCTGTCCTCACCTCTCTTCTCATGTTCTTCATCTTATGTAGTTTGAATAGATGCTCTGATCTAGATTTTTATTGCTTTCTAAATCATGACCAATGCGGCACTTAAAAGTCAAATTGCTTGTCAGTTCAAACCTACTTGGCAATAAACTTGATTCTGATTCAAAAATGACATAAAATTATAACCTTACTATACTTGAAAATTGAGCAGCTATCATGTTTTTTTATTCATATACAGGTGCTGGTCATAAAATTAGAATATCATGAAAAAGTAGATTGATTTCAGTAATTCCATTTAAAAAGTGAAACTTGTATATTATATTCATACATTACATACAAACTCATATATTTCAGATGTTTATTTTGTTTAATTTTAAAGATTACAAATGACAACAAATGAAAATCTCAAATTCATCATATCAGAAAATTAGAATATTGTGAAAAGGTTCAAAATTGATGGCCCCTGGTGCCACACTCTAATCAGCTAATTAACTCAAACCACCTACAAAAGCCTTTAAATGGTCTTTCAGTCTAGTTCTATAGGCTACACAATCATGGGGAAGACTGCTGACTTGACAGTTGTCCAAAAGACGACCATCGACACCTTGCACAAGGAGGGCAAGACACAAAAGGTCATCGCTAAAGAGGCTGGCTGTTCACAGAGCTCAGTGTCCAAGCACATTAATAGAGAGGCGAAGGGAAGGAAAAGATGTGGTCGAAAAAAGTGTACAAGCAAGAGAGATAACCGCACCCTGGAGAGGATTGTGAAACAAAACCCATTCAAAAATGTGGGGGAGATTCACAAAGAGTGGACTGCAGCTGGAGTGAGTGCTTCAAGAACCACAACACACAGACGTATGAAAGACATGGGTTTCTGCTGTCGCATTCCTTGTGTCAAGCCACTCTTGAACCACAGACAGCGTCAGAAGCGTCTTGCCTGGGCTAAAGAGAAACAGGACTGGACTGCTGGTGAGTGGTCCAAAGTCATGTTCTCTGATGAAAGTAAATTTTGCATTTCCTTTGGAAATCAAGGTCCCAGAGTCTGGAGGAAAAGAAGAGAGGCACTTCATCCACGTTGCTTGAAGTCCAGTGTAAAGTTTCCACAGTCAGTGATGGTTTGGGGTGCCATGTCATCTGCTGGTGTTGGTCCATTGTGTTTTCTGAGGTCCAGGGTCAACGCAGCCACATACCAGGAAGTTTTAGAGCACTTCATGCTTCCTGCAGCTGACCAACTTTTTGGAGATGCAGATTTCATTTTCCAACAGGACTTGGCACCTGCACACAGTGCCAAAGCTACCAGTACCTGGTTGAAGGACCATGGTATCCCTGTTCTTAATTGGCCAGCAAACTCTCCTGACCTTAACCCCATAGAAAATCTATGGGGTATTGTGAAGAAGAAGATGCAATACACCAGACCCAACAATTCAGAAGAGCTAAAAGCCACTATTAGAGCAACCTGGGCTATCATAACACCTGAGCAGTGCCACAGACTGATCGACTCCATGCCACGCCGCATTGCTGCAGTAATACAGGCCAAAGGAGGCCCAACTAAATACTGAGTGCTGTACATGCTCATACTTTTCATGTTCATACTTTTCAGTTGGCCAACATTTCTATAAATCCTTTGTTTTTATTGGTCTTCAGTAATATTCTAATTTTCTGATATGATGAATTTGAGATTTTCATTTGTTGTCATTTGTAATCATCAAAATTAAACAAAATAAACATCTGAAATATATGAGTTTGTATGTAATGTATGAATATAATATACAAGTTTCACTTTTTAAATGGAATTACTGAAATCAATCTACTTTTTCATGATATTCTAATTTTATGACCAGCACCTGTAGTATCCATAGATTTGTTTTATGTTGTGTTTTCTAACAATATTTCACATCAATGCAAGATGAACAAAAACATATAATTAATAGCTCTCTTATTAACAACAAATTAACGTAATCCCCATCTAATCTTTATTGCTTTGTGTGTTTTTCTGCAGCACACCAGTGCGGGTGCGGAGGGTTCAGGTCAGGCTTTGGCCTCTCCTGGTTCCTGTCTGGAGGAGTTCCGCAGTGCTCCATTTATTGAATGTCATGGTCGAGGAACCTGCAACTACTATGCCAACTCCTACAGCTTCTGGCTCGCTACCATTGAGACAGAGGATATGTTTAGGTAAGACTAATAATTTCTTCTTGCACGATAACTTAAAGACCTTTAAAGGTTTGCTTTTTGTGGTCTTAATTGGTTTGTATTTTTTATATAGTGTTGTATAATGAAGGCAGCTTCATTATACAACACTATATAACAACCACAATGCATTAGGGCATTACACTTTAAGAGAAATAAAAATAAGTAGATGGTCTGTTAAGGTCAGGGGACTCCAAAGTGCTTTACACAACATCGTGTCATTCACCTATTCTCTAATGCTAGTAGTGGCAAGCTAAGTTATAGCCACAGCTGCCCCAGGGCACTTCTTTTAAATAAACAGTGAGGACCTAAGATGCGCACATCCCTGACTTTCATTCATTTTCTACAGTCTAACCATGACACCTAAAACCTAACATTTATGGGTAGATACCTCACCCGTAAGTATAATAACACACAACCACCATCAGTTGATAAGGTGGGTTATTTATGCCAGAGGATGCAACAGAAAGCCATGTTAAAATCAGTACAAAATAGTTAAAATTTGTGTATTCTTTTGTTTTGTTTTCAGTCCACAACTTAACATACATTTTTAGTGACTTTTAAAATAAAGAAACAGTGCACAGGTTTGAATCCATTTATTTCTCCAATTTAGACACAGTCACACTTATAGAGACTTTTTACAAATACAATTAGGTAAAATGTTCATGAACAAGTTTCACCTCAAACACTGAAATTTTTTTGCTTTCGAATAGCTTCTGGCATAATTCAGGGTGTATGTTTGTTTTTGTTTTTTTATTTTGGTAAATTCTAAAAATGAAGTTCAACCTTCTTTGACTTCTGCTATGGGTCATTTCTTTGCTTTAACGCCAAATAATACTTTTTTGATTTAAGTTAAAGATGAACAAATTTGTTTTTTTTTATTGTCCTCTACCATCCATAAATCTGTCTGTCTGTCTGTCTGTCTGTCTGTCTGTCTGTCTGTCTGTCTGTCTGTCTGTCTGTCTGTCTGTCTGTCTGTCTGTCTGTCTGTGTCTATATGTGTCTGTCTGTATATGTGTCTGTCTGTCTGTGTCTATATGTGTCTGTGTCTATATGGTCACGGTGGGGCCGGTGCCCATCTCTTGCAGTCTATGACAGGGATACACCCTGGACAGGTCACCAGTCTGTCGCAGGATATATTAATTATATATAAATGCAAAGTGAAAGAGAAAAAATAAATAAAAGGAAAGAGGTTGGCTAAAAGATTAAAAGAGGAAAATAAATATAGCAGAGAATAAAAGAACACAGTGACTTACCACAAACGCATATAAAAACAACTCAATTTAATTCAATTCAGTTTATTTATATAGCGCCAATTCACAACACATGTAATCTCAAGGCACTTTACAGTTCAACCAGATCATACAGTCAAATTGATTTAAAGTTTTCTATCTAAGGAAAACCAGTTGATTGCATTGACTAATTTACTTGAATGCAGTCCCTCACTCTAAGCATGCTTGTAGCGACAGAGGAGAGGAAAAACAGGGAGAAACCTCCAGCAGAACCAGGCTCAGTGTGAGCGGCCTTCTGCCAAGGCTGACTGGGGTTCAAGAAGACAGAAGCAGAGACACAAAAAGCAGCTGTAGAAGCTGTCCCTGTCCAGGAAACACACAGCCAGGCAGAGGAGCTCGGAGCCAACTCCCATGTCAGAGGATGAAGAGAGCACATCCAGCCAGTCACAGCCAGAGAAACAGGATTACACTGGAAAACAGGCCGAGCTCTAACATTTATAAACAAGGGTGTTGATGGAAGCAGCACAGCTGATATTTCTCTCCAGGATGGCGTCACAGATAAACAAGAACAGACGAGGCAAAGCTTCTATGAGTATGAGAAAAAGCAGAGAGAGCATAACGTTAGAGATTGTACTAACAGATTCTGCAGAGTGGGAGAATAGAGATAGAATGAAGGAGAATGATGAAATGGGGGTCCCTATGTCCTCGAAAAGTCTAAGCCTATATCAGCATAACTATAGAGATAGCCCAGGATAACCTGAGCCACTCTAACTATAAGCTTTATCAAAAAGGAAAGTTTTAAGCCTAGTCTTAAAAGTAGACAGGGTGTCTGCATCACGGACTAAAACTGGTAGTTGGTTCCACAGGAGAGGAGCCTGTTAACTAAAAGATCTGCCTCCCATTCTATTTTAAAACTTCTAGGAACCACTAGTAAACCTGCAGATTGAGAGCAATGTGCTCTGTTAGGAACATAAGGAACAATCGTATCTCTGATATAAGATGGAGCTTGGCCATTTAAGGCTTTATATGTGAGAAGGAGGATTTTAAATTCTATTCTGGATTTAACAGGAAGTCAATAATGAAAAGTAAACTGTTCTAATTAATACACAATGTACTTATAGGGGCAAACACAGCTCTAAGCAAAGTATATCTATATGTATGTATTAAGTATGTGCAATCACCTGAATCCAAACATCTGTTTTTGCAGGTGTGAGCACGCCTGTGTGCTTCTCCTAGATGTAGAGGGAGCTATTACATAGTTGCTGCTGAAATGGAATAGAGATTAAGTTTAAGATTTTGAAACTGTTAGGCTTTACCCTTAGCTATAGTACCTATGATGCTGACCTGTGGTAATTGTTCTATTTTCTCCTCCAGGAAACCTGAGCCAACGACACTCAAAGCAGGCAGCCTCCGGACACACATAAGCCGCTGTCAAGTCTGCATGAAGAGGACATTCACTTAACACCAAAGGCTTTTCTCCATTTTAAGACATAAACAGAAAAAAGAACATGCATCAACATCATCAACTTAGCTAAACTCCCTGTTCTAATGGTGCTATTTTCCTGTGTGTTCATGTGCAAAATGAGAGAGGATCAAGAGGTGTGGGTCGCAAAAAAATCAGCGACTGGACTTTGCAAAGAAATCATAGACCAAGGGGCTTTTTTAAATGCTTTTTTCCCCCTCCAAGTTGCAGCACACACCGTGTTTCTAAAGAATGGAGCCCGGTTTACCACTGCACTGAGCTGAAACCCCCTCAAAAGTTTAACTGGTGTTATCTTCAGAGGGCTGTTTGGTGCTATTGAATTTTAAGTGTCTGCATTTCCTTTTTTTTCCCCCTTTTAATTTTCTTCCTCTTTCAGTGCTACACAGTTCAAGCATATAACCTCACAACCATATAACTTTTCACACCTTATAATTTTAAAAATGATGGGTCTTACCACTGCTTACACACAATTTTCACTTTCCAAATCCCCTTTGGATGCTGCTGACACCATTGTAAATACAAAGCATTCCTGTATGCCACAGTCAAACATATTCTCCTCAGGTTATTACTGTATCAGTTTGTGTGTTATTAAGCCCATTTTTTTATTTATAAAATTTATAAAATGATGTTTGTTGTTTATCTGAAATTCAGCGAATTCAAGATTAATGTTTCATTGTTTAACAGCCATATTAACGTAGAAACAGCACTGAAGTTTCATTGACAGGTTAAGTGTGTGTGTTTGTGTGTGTGGGTGCTTGTGTGTGTGTGTGTGTACATACATTATGAGAGAGAATCTGAATGGATAGGGAATCGTGTGGATTTCAATGTTTTTGCATATACTATTGTTGCACACCCCTCTTGTTGCTTTATCTGAAATAAATGATCCGACAAAGAAGACTGAAAAGAAGAGTTCTGCCAGTTCTTATTTTGTATTCCCTTTTCAGTTCCTAAGGAAACAAAAGCATTCTCCCAACTGCATTTGACCAGCTGCTGTCAAAGTCAATAACAGTACATTATCTTAAAAAAATACTTCTTATTAAATTAAGATTATTTATATCCGATCACATCACACAATGTGTGATATTGAAGAATGGAATTGTTACTTTTGAGAATTTTGACTTGCAGCTAATAAAACCCACATAGTGTTTCCTTATTATCTGAATCTTACATTAGACAAATGAGCGGTGTTTCTTCCCCAGTACTGTACAGAATACGTATGTGCTTTTGGCACTTAGTGGAGAAATAAATCAGTGTCACCATAAAACTTATCAACTGACCACAGCACAAGGAACTCTTAATGCCTGCTGGTCGATGTCTGCTTTAGGTCTGGTAAAATGATGCTGACGTTTCTTTAGATCAGGAGAAGCTTCATAGAAAGAATGTAACATATTTTGTAACACAGCACAGTGGACTTTTGTGTCTTGTGGCTCTTAATTCTGCAGCTGCTGACAAGATCATGTGAATATTATCGAATGGGCACATTTCTTTCTTTCATTCAACTTTCCATTATCATGTGTAGATTGAACAGCTAGCTTTTTTTTTAACCCTGTGGCTTAAACGTAGTGGTCTGCAAGACAGCTATGAGTTCAGCAGCCTTGAATTAGAAATCTTACTTATTAATTTATCATTGCACACCATCCGAAATGCATCTCTTTGTGTCTATAGTGCCGTTGCAGAGGGGCCTACATTTGCTGCAAATGTGTAAATGAAAAGCGAATAAAAAAGCACAAAAGCTGCAAAAACAATGCTTGCAGACACAAAAATGAAACTAGCATTAAGACAAACACAAAAAAGCATGCAAAGAAATTGCTGCAAAAGAGAGTTGCAATAATCACAGAAAGTAGTGAGCAGCAAGGTGCAGAAAGCTGCAAATACATAAACATGGTAAGACAGATTAATAAAGCTGCAAATGACCTCTGCATTACAGAAGTGCTCCAGATCAGAAGGGAGAGACGATCATCAACTCATTACTACAAAGTAATATATATATCTATATATGTATATAGATATAAACTAGATATATGGATAGATAAATAAAAAAAAATTTCAACCCAGAGGTGATTTTGTGGGAAGAAAAGATATTTTTCTTTTTAAAACACTCTCTATCTCTATTAGCCTTTAGTGCCTTTATTAAGGGTCTGGTCCCAAGGGATGGTGATCGTCTCCCCCTCACAGTGTCGTCCATTGCACATTAGACAGATACAGATGTATTTGAAGCATTTATGTATTTGCAGTGTGTGTTCACTTTGCTTTTCTCTATTTTCTGTGAATGCAGCATTTTTTTTTGTTTAATGTATTTTGTGTTGTCAGTTTTTGTTCGTTGGACTCATTTTTATGTTTGTTATTCTCGTGTTTTGTGTTTCCAGTACTTTTTGAATTTGCTGCTAGTTCATTTGCAGCTGTCAGCGACCGCACTAATGCATCTATACAGTGAAATAGATAAACCTTTTAATACATTTCTATTGTATACTGAATCTGTTTTATTGTAAGCCCTACAAGTTGTTTTATTTTAAATAAATTGACAATATAGTTGCAATTATTATGTTCTTCACTCATTGTCTACAGACTATTACAAGTTTGAGTAAGCTTTGTTTTTATGTGTCCAGTCATACCTTTTCTGGCAAGGCTAAAGGAATCACAATCTAGAGCGTTTGTCTACATGTGCCAGGTGTTTTTTTTCCTACATAACATATATGTATAGACATAATCCTGATTAGATGATTGATGTTATCAAATCATGTTTATAGAAAATCTATAAAAGTTTATCACTAATATATTTCCCTTTAAATTCTGTTTAAATCTATAAGCTGAAGCTCTGCAATTCTAATGCCACAAGAGGGCAGCACTAACCCACTTTTGTTGAAAGATGCCTGTATTTCACCAATTGAATGTTTCAGTTTATTATTTTAAATTCTCCTTTAAATGTTAATCATCATTGTATTAATTTATATATTTATTCAGTAATATGAACCACAATATTAAAACTATATTTTAGGTGCTGTCTTCAGAAACACTTGCTGAGGCCTACAACATGATGCAGCCGCTTCCTCAGCACTTCTGCCAGGAGTCTGGCCAATGAACCCTTTTACCCCAACGAATGCACAAATGGATCGATTTGTTTCGCAGAGGAGCAGATAACCCCGCCTTTCAAGTCCGATCTCGTCTTTCATTTAGTGCCGGAATCCTATCCCTTGTTTCCTCTTTAGCCACCGCAGAGACAAACAGAGCCCTTGACCCCCAGACTCTCTTCATAAACATCTCTGATAAGGCCTTAACCTCTGACCGGTGAGCGTAAGGTCATATGGATGAGAGTGGGTTTGGAGGCATGGGGAAGTCAGAGACTGATGTGTTACAGAGAAACTAACTGCAGTCTGTGGAAAGATTGGAGTCAAGAAAAAAAGAGTGAAAACACTGTCAGATGACTTAGTAATCCTTCAGTGTTTGACTGAATCAGTCCTTCTGCTTATTGCTCTTCTTAAATGAGGAAAGTCCTTTGAAATTATAATAAATGACTTTTTTAAACTTAAAAAGATAATGCCTATTTAAAAACAAAAAATTGCCAATCTTATTTTGACTTTGATAAAAAATATAGTATAAATGTGAGGAGGAAAGAATATGATAGATGCTTTTCATAACCTAATAAAAATCATAACCTAGCTTATATATTGTATGCAACACCTCTTAGTAATATTGGGAGCTTAATCGGATACAGTTGATAAAGTTATTTCCAGTTCTCAAATTATTTCTTGAATAAATTCAGCTGACCAGTTCTGCAATCCTTGTCAGGTTTTAGAGAGTATTAATGAACAAAAATCATCAAGAAGACCAAGGAACGGAGTGGAATAAGGTTTTGGAAAAGTTTAAAACAGTGTTGGATTATAATACAATATCCAAAGCATTGAACATCATCGCTTGGAGCTCTGCTCAACTGATACCACTCTGACCTTCTTAGAAGAGGCGAGAAGGAAGAAATCTTTAAGGGTTTTCTTTAAGCAATAGGGAATAGCAAACATGTGGAAGATTCTCTGGTAAAGAAAAAAAAAAAAAACAAACAATTATTCAACATTCTGTTTTATATTTAAAAAAATAATGGGTGTTATGCTTATAATCCAATTTTTAATAAGACTGAAGTATTATGCTGTGGAACTGCTTTATTATCCATAGAGATGTGCTGGTGAAGGTTCTCAGTCATCCAGGTCATAATCATTCCAAAAAAAATTTAAAACAATCCACTGGACTTGGTTTCCATGTTTGAAGACGTTTCAATCCAGGAAGCTTTTTTTAATTCAAAATGTCAGGAATAGCATTGAGTTCAAGGTTTTATACAGTAGCCCAACAAAGCCTTATTTTTGTACTGAAAACATGCAATGCATCCAACAGAGACATGGAAACAAGTCAGAGGTAATGAGAAGATGGATAGAGCTTAGACTTTACAATCTGGTACTATAGCTGCAATAACTTGTGCAATAACTAATGTGCAATCACCATTTAATATCCTGTGCAATAACTGTTTATATTTAGTAACCAGTGCAATAACTATATATATAATTACCTATTTATATAAATACCCATGTGCAATAACTCTGCAATACAATTTTTAAATAAGAGACTTTAATCTCTTATATATGTGGATGCACTGTATATACTATATGATACACCTTTTCCTCCTTTGACACTTTCTTTTTGACTATTGAGACGATGTGACAAGTAAATTTCTCCACCGTCAGATCGATCGATCGATCGATCGATCGATCGATCAATCAATCAATCAATCAATCAATCAATCAATCAATCAAAAACCTGTTAGAATGTGAAAAATGCTAAGGGCTGTGATAGCATGACCAAGTTTTAGTCCAACCTCTAATCCAGTTTTGAATATGTGGCAAAACTTGAAAGATGTGTCTTGAGGCCCTCTTTATTCACAAATTTAAGCCGTATTTCACACAAATAGAGACAGTTCCCAAAAGACTTAAACCTTCATAAGGTTGTTTTAAAAAGTCCATACCATTTTTTAAGATTGTTCTTTTTTTATCTAGAAGAAAGTATTTATAGCATCCAACTCTAGCATAAGACACATGGAAAAAATTACTGCAATGGGAAAAATGTTTTGCATCAGAGATCTTGTGCTTCAGTTGGTCGGTCCTCACAATGAGCTTAAGCATGTTCTTGGTTTCACAACAGCCTTATCTATCCTCCTCAGCTTTCTCAGGACAATGTTTCTAAATGACTTAATCTAAGTAGATAAAACAATTTTAAGCAGCCTCACCTAAACTTAGGTTTAACAGGAAATCAAAGAATTAACCAGTAAATGAGTTAATAACCAAATGACATTACATTATTAATCAGTTTAGTCAATATATTTGAGCTAATCAGGAATTTGGCCTCAGTAAAAAGATGTTTTTTTGTTGCTTTGTTTTTATTAAATTTGGCTGAGAATAATAAAAATTCAAATTCTTAGAAATGATTGAAACATATTCTTGACATGCTCTGAGTATTGTAATGTACTGAGCTTTCACACAGTACATAACAATGAAGTGAGAGGGATATGCACATTGAAATCAACAGACATCAGATTAGTCCCTAATGGCATGGAGTTTGCGTAGCTTTCCTTAGGGGCTTTTAAAGATTTAACGTCTTTAAGCAACTTAATCCTTTAGCTTGTTTGCCAACACAGCTAAATTGAGATCCAACTGAAGAATTACAATCACCTTCAGAAGAGCTTGAGGTTTACACCATTGAACTAATCTGCCTATAATGTTACATAGCCATGAATTTGACCCTCTGCAAATAGATATTTTGACCTAACAAGTAGCTTTTTATGACAGATGAATCTGTGTTTACATTACAATGTTTCAGAAACCTTACAAATGTAAATCAAACTCAACATGTTTCTGCAGCTGACTTAACTTGTTTTAAAAGATCTGTCTACACTACTTAGCAGGAACGGGTCAGGAGGTGTTTCCTCCTGTGAGCTTTCCTCTGAATCTGACTATTGACCGGGTCAAACTGAGATTACCGTACTAGACAGCACGCAACACACAAGACCAGTCAGAAGCCAGCTAAGGAAAAGTTGCATACATACTCACTACATGACATTTGAAGATTTCACCACATCTATGTTGAAACGAGTCCAATTAATGAGTTTCGGATTCATGATTATGTCAATTTTCACCAACTGCTAATTATTTAAAATTATTTTAGTCTGGTCAATTTTAGTTATTGATGTTAAGTACCCAATGGCAGACATCATAATAAGAATATCAAAACAGAGTCTTAAGCACTGGCCTAATATAAAACTTGAGTGGTTTGAGGGGCAAAATTAAAAGTAAAGGATGAAGTATATAGGAGCTTGACAAGAAGGATTGAACAAAGAGTGAATGAAGACTGTTTTGTAAATAGAAAACAGGTGAGTCTGATCAACTGGCAGCTGTACAGAAATCTAAGGAGATTGGCTGAGAAATGACTACATGAACACAAAATGAATCACAGTGATGAGTACTGCAATAACAAAATAGGATTAAACATGTTTAAAAGACAGATAAGACGAAAAAAAAAACCAGAAAAAAACCTACCTACAAAGTGAATAAGATAACTAAAAAACTTTTGAACTAGGACAAAAAAGTTAGATTCTCTTGATTTTCTTACAATTGTGGCTCTAACTTAAGTCTCTGTGACATGTATCAATATTATTAATATATTATAGTTTTTTTTTTTTTTTGCAAGTCAAACTAAATGCCTCGGTTGCTTGTCTAAAAAGTGTAAATGTCAAATTAGCCTTCAAAATTCATTGGCACTATACCATTTAGAGCAGGGGGTTTGCGACGCCCAGGGGGTCCACAGAGGTACTGCATGGGGTTCGCGAAAGTCTTGGTTGATAAGACTTTTTTTATATTTCCCCTGCAATTTTTTCCACTAATTGAAATGTCTTTAAGTACACATTAACATGAATTCAACACACTGTAGTAAACAGATAAATGGAGGCAAAAGATGTCTTCCAGTCATCAATGCAAACATTCAGGAACACACAGCTCCTTCAAGCATG